TAGTTTTTCTACCTGATAACATAATGCATAAGGGGCATAGAATAAAATTCATGAAGACCCAATAGAGTTTCTACGCAGTAAAAGTCAAATTTGAATTGAGTGAAATTTTGAATCATTTCAATGGCCACTTTATGGTCAACCGTCGTCCGGCGATGGCCTTATCAAAAATTTTAATTGAATCGCAACTGATCTGCAGGCTCAATGAAGTTGATGCAAGTTCTGAAGAAGCAGCGTACGTACGCTGGCTTAAAAGACTTTATAATTTGATGCAGCATCGCAAATTTTACGACCACGCTTTAAAAGCTCCGCTTTGGTCACTTAAATTCCGCAAACATGCAAATTGTGTCGCAGTTTTGTGGTCGTATGGCCCAAAAATGTCAGGCAAGTGTCGAGTGTCTATTTACTAGATTTTTCTTGCCGCTATTCACGAGACTTCAGTGTTCATTGTTCAGCCATAGTACTTGTTTGAAAACATATTTATTTTGATTTAGCCGTTTGTTCAAATCCAGTTTATTGGGTCTTCTTACAATTGTTTCTATATCCAATATATTCGACTTTACAAATCCTTCTTTATTTTTGCATATTTTGTAAGTTTCTTCTTTTTAAATTTTACGTTTTTAACCTGAAGTTCAATTCAATAACTCATCGATTATATTTTATTTGAATACATTATTATTAAATCGACGTAATCATTTACGGCTTATTTCTCCAGCAGCTGGAAATTGATTTCCACTTATGCAATTTTTCGGAAATAATATTCCTCAATTGCAAATTTCTACAATAATTATGCTTCCTAGGCTGTTTTAAGCTCCATTTTCCTCCTAGGCTGTTTTAAGCTTCATTTTCCAATTTGACAATCTTGTTCAGATTTTACTGTTTCTTCCTTTCCCGTTCACTGTTTTAATTGTTTCAGCACCCAACTCATTCTTTTAGTTCTCTCTTTATCCATTGATAACCCCGATCCAATTGTAAACTCTTTCTCTGGCGCCCATTTCTCACGACATTTTATCCTTCAGCTGAGGCAGTTAATAAATTTGGTAAAGGCTCAATCGACTACAGTATCATTTGTTGCATCAATTTTTGTTCTTCTATTTGCCTTCTAAAATGGCAAGCTTTAGTCTGTGTCTTCATTCGAAATTCGCAATGAACTTCGGTCTCGACAAATGGACCGCCTGCCTTTGAATGCAGAATTGGGTTTGCCTTACTCAATGTAAAAGATCTTGAAAATAAATTTAGGAGACAACGCGCTTAATTATGATGTTTCAATGATCACAGTAGCGATATTTAACACGAATGATTGCGTATTTATATTCGTTGTTTGCTTGTATAGCAAATTAAAAAAATTCAAAGGCAAAGAAAATCTTTCAAATTCACTTAATTATCGTGGAACACGTTCTAGAGACCAGCTCGCACACCAGTTCAAAGACTTCACAAACACAAGTAAAACCTATAGAAAGATGAAATAACCTGATTTATCAAATGACCATATATGATGGTATTTTTTTCCTGAATATGCGAAGCATTTACTTTCTTTCAGTTTCCCCACTTAATGTGGCATCTATTCGTATGATCTGAAAGCTATTTCCATCATTTGAAATAAGGCGTTAATGGATAATTTTTTTTATTTCATTTGTTAATGGACAAATTAAATTTCCTATTAATAGTACGCAAAATTTTACTTTGAAGAGGCTTGTTTTCCATTGCACTCAATTATTGCGGCAAGTGAGAAAAGTGGTTGACCGTCTTTTGCTATGGCAGGGAAGAAGCGTTCATATGAATTTTCAAGTGATTTTGGGCGATCGAGGCACAGTTCAAAAGCCCGATGACTCTTATTACTAGAACTTTTATAACTAGACTGGAAATTTGCTAACTAGTGATTTCATCCAATATTCAACAAATCTAATACAGATATACAGTCTTAAAACAGATGCTATTTTGTCAATTTTAATTCTCAAAGAGATCCTCCAGGTTCTTCAAACGATTCCACTTCAATCATAACTTATCTTAATTGGCAACATAAACTTCGGAGAGAACATCAGAAATATCACAGCTAGACATTCCAATATCAAAGATATTCCACCTTACAACGCCGGGCTCAATTCAATAATAGCTAATTCCATTCACTGAATGCTCATTCAATTTTTCAAGGTAACAAATTGATATTACTTCAACAACATTTTTCATGTTGTTCATCGATGAATTCATTGCATGATTTAATTTGTTTGCTCTGGCGAAATCGCATGAATGTTCTTCTCCTGCGGTTTTAAAATTCACTTTTTCTCTCAGACATTTAACCACTTTGTTATCCAAGTAAAAAGAATCGATTATTGTGCAGTACCCTAATTATGAGACATCATGAGTTATACTCTTATTGCCTTTGCTTTCATTTTTTTTATTCGAACCAAGATTGAACATCGACCTGAAAATTTATTGGAAATTCGTTTCGTATTTCTGTACTTTGTGGGGCACGTATGTCACCCGCAAAAACAATGAGGCGATGGGCAATGCTGGAATTGAATAGAGAATCATTTATATCATCGAGGAAACTCTAAGATTTATTGTTGAAGTTGACACTACGAACAATGCAGGTACCTACAAAATTTTATCTCTTCTATTACAAATCAAACTAAAGTAGCAAAAATATATATCTTCAGATCTCAAAATTGAAAAACGAGGAAATTTAAAGCATTGCCTGCAGCGACAGCGCGATTTTGCCTAAAAAATTTGAACTGCTATCATCAACAATATTTTCCTAATTTTGGCTGTTGTAATACGGCGCAGTTTTTGCACGCTATCCTTGATTAATCAGAGCAACGTGCGCACTGCTCATTACCTGGCAATGGGATGAGGACCCACGGAGTGTTTTTCGAAGACTAAACGAACCACCCAGCCTGCAGACAGCACGTCCATCCAGTTTAATTAAATGTTATTCGGCTTAATTAAATCGTTCGTTTCGCTGTTTGCTCAGTTCCTCGAGATTAATGCACACAAATGTTCCATTCCGTTTTGCAATTTACATGATCCGTAATCCACACATGTCGCCTGGACTCGTCGCGCTGATTACCCATTCCGCTCCGCTTTTGTTTTTTTACAACACTTCTCTTTAACTTCACTTCTAGTTTGTTTGTCTGACTGCTATAAATCTCATAATCGATTTATAACGAACTTCCACCTCTCCAATCGATTTGAAATTTTGCACGCTTGCGTAAAGTTGGAGACTATGCATGGATCAATTGACAGAATAAATAAATAATTTCGAAAATTTAAAAATTCTTATTTTTGATATTAATAAAATAAAAAAATAATAGAAATTTTATCTGATACATAACTTGTATATAATTGATACTTAACAGACTTCTACCTGTCCAATCGATCTGAAATTTGCACACTTGCGTAAAGTCGGAGACAATGCATGTATCAATTGACAGAATTACTAATTTTGAAAAATTTAATTTTTAGTTTACTTTAAAATAAAATTAAAAAATTAATTTTTTTTATATTTGATAATAAAATTAGAAATTCATTGTACATGTGTAACATCGGAGACGCTGGATTTTTTAAAAGTGTTGTCTTTAAATAGTAATTTTTAAACGCAAATTATTTCGCTTGCTGTCGCCGATTGTTCCCGAGAGAAAGTGATTTTGGCAAAAATGGACGTTAGTGAGTATTTTAGAATTTAGGCCTAACATTTTGAAGGTCTGTAAAGAGTTTCTAGCATAAGTTTTTCTTACATATTTAGTAAAACTTGTACCTGAGAGTGAGAGGTGTTTCGGTTTTCCGTAGTCCGTGGATTTATACGCCAAATACTTTCATTTAAATGTCAAAATTCCCAATTTATGTTTTTAAGTACGCATATTTTCACACCGTCTCTTACCAACTGAGCGTCGAGACGAAATGCATACGTATACGACAGACTGTTCATTATTTAACACTATGTCTAAAACATTTGCATAATGTAACATTTTCGGCGTTGAAGAAATGGGCCTTTTTTAAGCCTATCACCGATTCCTATACTTTTCGTGACTTGTACACAGATCTAAAAACTGGCCTTTCGACCTGATATTTTCAATTGACGTTGGTTTTACATAATCACTGGACTGTTTCAGTTAAGAATGGTGCTAAGCATTTCAAGACTGAACATATGCTTTTACATAGCTCTGCCAAGTTTATTCCTGAACGCGTTCATACTCGGAGCGTTAACAATGTCATCAGAGAAGTTGTTCCACATGTCGGTGACTTGAAGCAAGATGAAATTTAATTGTTAGGTGTGAAGCATTTGGAATGTTTGCCTCGGTAGTTCCATGCTTACATGATAACAATAAAAGGGAATCTGCACACACTCCATGAACAATCTACATCTAATGATCTCTATAGTTATAGTCACAAATAATCGACGTATGCGACCGACTGAAAGTCTAATTGGCAAAGGTTGTTTGTTATTTTGTTCGGATCGTAATCCGAGCTGCGGTTTGGTGATCGATAAATGACACATAAGTGTAAGTTTTCCTTGCCTTTTAGAGGAAGTCACATTTTACGATTATTAAAATCTTACCAATTCTGATGGTAACTGACACTGCGCAGACAACTCCGGTTATAAACGGTTAAAAGATAAACCCACAACACTACATCTCTGTTGTACTTTTATACTTCCAAGTTGAGACAGCATTCAAAATCTGACAAGTGGAATTCAAATAGTATTATTTTTCTACGTGTTCCTGAAATGCAAATATTCTCTACACACTCGCTCTCTTTTACTGTGAACAGTTAACTTCTTTCGTGTAATACTGGATAAGAATTCATGTACCAATCTCAATAATGTTTGTTACGGACTTGAATTAAACCACTTTATCTATCGACAGTTATAAAATTATTTGAATTGCGTTTTTAATATTCTTTCCGGTTAATGAACTTTCTCAATCAATATTATTATCACATTGTTGAAGAACTTCAACAATTTCAGTTTGAATCTAACAGGATTAAATTTCTCTTTCACGTTTCAGTTCCCGCGATTCTCCTTGCGACTGCAAGACGCTGCTTCAGCCTCGTCTCCGGACGCCGTAGTTCAGCTTTAATCGTTAGTGCGGCCAGCGGCCAAGCGAACGACAAGTGATGGACGCCGAACATCCATTGGAACGGGGAAGGTATCGAATAACTTTAAAGCAATCATTCCTGCTGATGGAAAGTTGGTTCCATCTTTGATTACGTCCTAAGCAGTTATCGGGTTGAATTCTGAAAAAAGTATTTCAGGAGCTAAATCCAGATATTTAACGCAGTAGTTGAAGATGATGAATACATCGTAATTCTAGGTATCGTTTTGGAGGGATTCAATTTTATTATGTTATAGGCAGATTTTCGGCAATGATTTGTGATGACCTTTCAAGATGGAACTTTCAGTTTATGGTAACAACCGCAGTAGTTCTCTTTATAGCGGCAAAATCTTATTTATCAGTAGGAAATAAATAATGCGAGATAAATTAATGCTAGATCAAGTAATCTATACTACTTATTACCTTTGTATTTGTATACCTTTGCCTTCTTACACCTGACGATTATTGAACGCACGATTGCAATAATGAATTCTCGCAGTTTTCCATGCCACTCACAAAACGATTATATTTTCATGGCCTGTTGTTGTTACCTTACAAGGAATGAAAATAAAATCCTATTTAATGAATGCTCCGGAATACGAATCTGCATCTATCTTGAATTCGTTGTATTCTACAAAATTTCAGGTTTTGTAGACTTCTGGAGCGATAGGAATCTAAATTTGCTGTACTATTTAATGATTTTACTTCACTTCAAATTAGTTCTCATTTTACAACACACTTAAACTTCTCCTTGTTGTTTGTTTGTTTGTCTGCTACAAATCTTATAATCGATATTGAACACACTTCTACCTGTCCAATCGATCTGAAATTTTGCACACTTACGTAAAGTCGGAGACAATGCTTGAATCAATTGATAGAACAAATGATTTTAAAAATTAAAAAATGTTATATATATTAAAAATTGTAAAACTTTTTTTATTAATTGAAAGTAAAATAATAAATTCATGGAACATGTGTAACATCGGAGACACAGACCTCTTTAGAAGTGTTGTCTTCAAAAAGTAATTTTCACACTCATGTTATTTGGATTCAATTCTCATTTTCAGATTGAATTAATTCATCCCAAAATTCGCGGCATAAACTTATGGCGAAATAGCAAACACAACATATTCTGTCGCTTTTCTTTAGTTTTCTCCCAAATGTTACATCAACAACACTGTACAGAATTGTTCTTTCAAATTGAAATATTATAGATTAAATTTACGAGAGGTGAGGATATTTTAATGCGTTCCAAACTATGGACTAGCTCCTAGTTTTGAAGTCTAATTAAATTAATGCACGAACATTTTTTCAAATGTCAAATCAAAGTAAAAAAAAATGAACGCGTACTTCACTATTTTTTTTATAAAATGGCGCTCTATGATACAGATTTAGAGCATCGGCTCCCATCGACTACGATAACGCGCTATTAGCTTCAATTGTTAGAAAAAATTCGATATCTATTACCAATCTACAAATTTAGTAGCGTTTTCAAGATAATGCATATATGACATGTACCACCTTGAATTTGTGACTCCAAAAGTTTTTCAGTAAATGGAACTGATGCGAAAATACATCAACTACTCGTAAATTAATTTTTTTTAAGAGTGTGACTATACGTTACGTAGCGGGACTTCGATACGATGGTTATCGAGACGCACTAAATTATCACGTAAGCTAACGATGACGACGTAGTTACTTATACAGGGCATCAGTGCCTCTTCTTCTTGTGTTTACGCGAGGGAGAACGCGAATGAGACCGACGCTTGCGCGGCGACCGGGATCTGTGACGGTCCCGGCGGGAGGAGGGAGACCGGGTCCGATGTCGGGATCTGCCGAAACGTCAACGGTTTAAAAATCTAACCATGGTTGAATATATCAATCTTCTTTTATGAAACGTTTCTTGCACTAATTTGTTTAATAGAAGATATAAGCAATGCTGGCCTTTGCAAAAAAAGTGAAGAATTTAATAATAAAGAGGCGAATCTTAGGCCACAAGATTCTAGTTTAACCCAATATAGATATTATTGGATTACATTGTAATATCGCACGCTGAGAAACTATATACATTTTTTCCTATTCAAATTTTAGCCCAACTCGTAAACCTACAATTACTTGCCACTAAAAATAATAAATGATACATCATTGTAACTTCGCACGTTGAAAAACGATATTTCTTTTTTTCCCATTCAAATTTTTCCCTAACTCGTTAACCTAAAATAACTTGCCACTAATAATATTAATAATAATAAATGATACATCCCCATTTCCAGTCTTACTTATGAGGGGACCGCGACCGCTTGTTGCGGACCGAGGAGCGGTCGTCCTGTGGAGGCGTTGAGCTGCGACGCTTGTGGTGGCGACGCTCGCTGCCGCTGCCGCCGCTGCTCGCTGCAGCTGAGCCCACTGCTGCGACTGCTGCAGAAAGTGAAGACGCTTCTTCCTTCTCTATCTGTCAATGTGAGTGCACAGTCAAAGAACCTCTGCCAAAACTACTAATTATTTCCAGTAAATTATCAATTGGATCAAATTCACAAGACAATTTTTGCATTCAATCAACCCCGTAGATTAAATATGAAAATCATTTAAGCAGCTACGACAGTGCGGAATAATTGATAAAAAATATATAGATCAAATAACTTGTCTCGATTTGTACGACCTTAAGGAATGTTCTCAACTTCTGATTGGGGGCTTGAACATGGTAATGGATGGAATGCATGAACTAATAAGAAAATTAATTTCTATAGGTTGTAGTTAGGAATATTTTGACTGCTTTAGTGTCCTTGTTAAAAATCCATGGAGCTGTTATTACGCCCGCATTTAATCTAGTAACACCCTGCCTCGAGATCGGTACGGGTGCCCGGTGCATGTTAAAAAAATATAACTCAGTACTCACTGCAGTGAGTGACAGAGAGCGCATTTTCTCGTCCGTCCGTGACGAGAGGTCACGGACGGACGGACGGACATGACGAGCACAATAGAGCCTTTTTTCCCATAAATGAGAAAATTCGCAGAAAAGACGTGAGTGAGAGGCTTAATACCTTCCTGAGGAGTTTATGTCTGTAGTGCTGCACTTGTTTGGCCAGAGTGTACCCAGGCTTCAGAGGTCGCGCTCCTCGCTCAAGTTCATCCTGGTACTGCAACACTCGCACCTCCACCTCCCGTAGCCGAGCTCGGCGTTCCTCACTTGCTTCGCCGCTGTGGAATGGATGGTTGCATTACAGTCACATGATGGCATGCAGTGCAGCTTACTGCCTTTTCAATTGACTGGACCCTTGTCGAGCTGAGTAGGTAGAACTGTCTCTACTTCAGATACGACAATAGTGTACAATTTTGCAGTCTGACAAGAATTAAACACCACCACACTAAATGTTCTGACACCACACTAAAATATACATTGAAACTGAAACCGTACACAATTCAAGGGACCAATCAGTAGCTACAAAAATCGCATCATACTGCCGTAGATAGTGAATAACGTCGATTAAATGGAAACTTTAGTGATAAATAGAACTGGAGTAACTGTAAGATGCAGCAGCTCACGATAAATAATAAAAAATGGTGAAAAGCTCCCCACATATCTTCAATTCATAATATCTTTCAATTTTGAAATCCGATCAACTGATTCTAATCTAAATGAACTGATTCTGAAGTCTACCGCAACCACACAGCAAAGAAAAAAGACAAATTAAACTGATCTATTGACTGCTATATGATTAAAAATGTAATGTTTTCAAAGCGTCGCATTACTGGAAGCATGGCTTAAAAATCTTCTCTTTTACTACTCGCATCTATGTTAACATATGCCTTAACAGTAAAAATCATACTCTTTGGGTAGCCAGGAATTTAGGAAAAAAATACGTTTACCACACTTACCTCTGTAGTCTGTCATAGCCGCGGGAGTCTTCGGAGTACTCCGAGTTGTTATCTTTAGTACCATCGTCTTGCATTGGTCTTCCATCTTCCTCGTCCGACGATGTGTGCCGCTTTTTACGCTTGTAATCTTCGTACATGATTGGGATACCATCTAAGTCCTCTGTGAAATAGTCAAGTTCATTAGCTACTGTCAGCAAGCATTTCTAAGCAGAAGAGAAAATTTTTGATGAAAATGACGTGACAAAGTTTGATTCGAAATTTCTGTCATCCGGTCAATTGTCGTCAATTGCCAAAGCTTGATATATTCACTCATTCACTTTTATCTATCACTCAGACTACACTAGCTTTGCTAATTTAATTTCAGTAGATACATATTTTATTCAAACAAGAAACTAATATCAAGAAATAAACCTCTTAGGATTTTATTTTCATGATTAAGTTAGCTATAATTCACAGCAAGCCTTTAATTATATAATAATAAAACTACTCTAGATTGTATGGATGCACTATCTGGAACCGACCCACGGCACTCTTGCGATGATCATTGGACTCCAGAGTTCTGGGGGAGGCGCCAGGCTGGTCGTAGACCGGAGTGCTGTCGCTCCCACTGTCGCGGCCAGTCTCGAGTTGCGCCTCCAGCGTGTCCCACTTCGACAGCGTCATTGCCTACAGAATTGGTAAGAGAAAACTTAATATAATAATGAATAAAAGAATGAATTATACAATAAAATGAATAAAAAATAAATAGTTTGACGATACATCCTAATAATACGGTCAACGTTAGAATAGTTTGATGATACATCCTAGTAATACGGTCAACGTTAGAACATCTCGCGTTTCCATATACGGCCTATTTCAGTCTCTCCACTTCCTTCCAAGACTAAGGCATTGGTGCTACTACTTTGAGCAAAAATATTAAATCGAAATAAAAACCTTTCCTTAAATTCTTTAAAACCCATTCAACGTAATTCAGGAAGTACCTCTGTTAGGTGGCACGAAAAAAATTATAATCATTTTGTACCTGAGCTTCTACCCTCTTTGGACTGACGCTCTCCCACTTCGGAGGTACAAATCCTGGACCCGTGCCTGTGGTGACCAACCGTGACGGGCCCAATGGAACACCATCGACGTCGTCGTCAACTGTTGCGTCATACAAGACATGATTAGGAACAAACATGGATGGGCAGACGTTGTGAACCGCACGAGTCTTTGAGACAACCCACTGCGTCTGAATAGAAGATTAGAATTTCGGCAGAAGAATAGCGCAGGTCAACTAAGAGGATTCAGAAGAATTTGCAAAAGATAGCCAACATTGCGGCTCAAGACCGCTGATCATAAGGATTCATGATTGTGGCATTTAAAATATTATACATTTTTCCATTTTCTCTGAGTTTATGTGCAAAATTATTCATGTTTGATCAGTTTATTATCTGAACGTAATTGTATATTACTTTAAAGTATATAACATAACGCAATTGCAAAGCTGCAACTCACGAGGAGCTCCATCAATATCATCATCCTCATCATCATCGTCGTAGCCTTGCAGCGCTGATATCGCAGCGCTGCTCTTGAGAAGTGGAGTGTTGTTGGGCTTGTAGGGAGATCCGTCCAAGTCGTCCTTAAATACACTCCCGTCCATGTCGCTTAGTGGCACGCCGTCCACATCGTCCAATGGAATCCCGTCAACGTCGTCCACGATTCGAGGTGCTATGCGCTCAACAGATTCGCTTGGTTTCACCTCTGGCTCTATGCCGTTGTTGGCCGACTGCAAGGACATCGTTGAAATCGTGTCAAGGCATAAAAAATTAATACATCAGCATCATTGGTGACCCAAACACTTCTGACATAAAATTCACCATTAATTTATATATTTATCTTCCGAAAAATCCTGCTAGCAAACGTACCCTCTTGACGAGCCCCAAGAAAATGTTCTGAAGGCTGATGAGAAACTCGGGAGGATAAACGGCCCAGTCTTCCCAGGCTCTGCAGCACTGCAGCACGCGCTGCTTCAGCTGCTCCGCCTTCAGTCGCGACTCAATGATGTTGTGTGCGTTGTGTAGACCTTCAAATATTTCCTGAAGCTTGCATTGCAACCTGGAAATTATCGTCATTAAAATGTGATAAGTAAATACACTAGTGGTAGCGAATCCTCCCCAATATTTGAACAAATGAAATCTAAAACTAACGCCTGTGGATTTAAGCATGGACTAAGCCAGAGCTGCAGACAATAATGAAATATAGAATGCACGATGGATTTGATGTTGAAAAATTTCAAACACCAAAAACAAATCTTGATGTTCAAAACTTGAAAAAGCTGCGATATGAACATTACTCACCCCTTCCGATAAAACGAGGCGTTGGTGACTTTTACGCTGCAGTTGTGGAGAATATCGGAAACAAGATACAAACGAGCCATCTGCCATAAAAATTTCAAATGTTATTATGAAAAAAAATGTATATTTTTTTTTTAATTTTTGAAAGACAAACAATAGAGCATTTTTTCTAGCATTGATACTTTACATCGCACAAGCACCAGACAAAATACTCGCTCGATGTTTCGGCATATTATATCCAACTGCAGAAGGAGTATTAATATCGACATGATTTATACTATAAAAATAGTTGTTCGAGTAAGGACTGTAAACAAGCATGCAATAAAATGAGGAACCTGAAAAAGTTATTGCTAACAGGAATTGGCTGTCGCGTAAAATCAAGAAATACCTAAACCATTCTTTATCTCACTTCCCCCGCCAAAAATTGGACGAAGTTCTGATTAGATGCAATACCAAGAGACAGAAATTGCTGCCGCCAAATATTTTTGCGGCAAAATGGAACCTTTTTGGTGACAGGAGTGGCGTTGTTGGTGAGAGCCTCGCAGAGACACTGGCAGATTTCCTCGGCAGCCTCGGCGTGCTCGATGCACCAGACCATCGCCTCGCCCACCTTCTCCCGCTCCGGCGTCAGGTGTCGGATCATGTGTTCGAGCCGACCGCGTTGGCTGTTGGGTATATTATGCTCAAGTTAGCACAAACAATTAATCCCAATACGTGTAAAGAACTTATAGAAATTAGTTATATCAGGCTTAATTTAGAGTACACTCAGAATATGAATGAGGCATATTGTCCAAATAACGTCCCACTCTTCCTGTATGTTGCACTGATTTGTCCTTTTGCCGGCTCCATGAACGGCAAAAATGGAAGATTATCTAGCCTGGACCACGCCTGGTTAAGCTACCAGTACAGGTAAAATATGTGATGAATTTAAACGAATCGGCTTTAAAACCATATATTCTGCCCTAACTGGCAAAGACCTGTTTGTTCACTTGCTTCCATTACATACAAGACAAAAATGTTAAAAAGTGATAAATAATATAAAAAAATTGTAGGTGAAAGGAATTAAAACTGAAGAATATATTTCGCCATATATATTTTATGTTTGAGAAAACGCCTAAGTAACTTGCTGCTGGTTGTCAAAATATAAATAAGCAGGTATTTATCATTCATAAATTTCAGTTTAAACTTCTACATGCGCTAAGAATCAATACTTCAAATCCAAAGGAATTCCTATGAAAGGAAACTTTGAAAAGCAAGAAATTGGCTACACAATCAAGACATGCGCTTTGAGGAAACTCTGTTAAATTCATTCCAAAATGAACTTGCAATGGATTAAAAAAATTAGCCAAACTCAGTTGAATTCCGACACAAATAAAATTTGAAATGAGTAAGAAAACAAGTAAAACTTACGCGTTGGAGAGAGAGCCTCGCTTGTTCTTCTCCTCCTCCTCTTGATCCTGCTTGACTAACTCTTCAGGCATACCCTGCAGGAAGGGATCGACAGGAGGTGGCTTCCATATCGAGCCGCCTAAGGTGCGAGCAATCGTTAATATGATGCCGTTACAAACACTTAATAAACGTAAGCAATCAGTGCTGGGGAAGCCAGCAATAAGTGGTTAAGTTTGCAGTCTTTTTAGCTTATATAATTTAATAAACGCTAGCAATCAGTGCTTGGACAGCCAGCAACCAGTAGTTCAGTAAGTAGTCGTTCCTAGCACCGATTAAGCGTGGGTAATCACTGTACATGTATCCGCTAAAACGACGCTTTAAATCGGAAGTGGCAGGACTCTATGTCTACTATTTTTGACGGATGAATACTGAATATTGGAGTAGGAAAAATAATGAAGCTTAGGGAAATACTACAGCAAAACTTTGCGCAATATTTAAATTTATTTAAATATTGCAATATTCAACAGTTTCAACATCAAAACATACATAATAGACCAGCCATTCACATCCTGATCGAAACAAAACAGCGAAATTAATGGCCATTCACTGTACGTCTAATAAAAAACCTCAACCCAGAGGCAACTAAGTTCGACTACACGGAAGACTCAATGAGTCCATGATTGCATTGGTGAAATAAATTAGATTATTGAAGATAATGAATAAAAGCTACATACCTTCAAACATTCTGAAGGGCTTCATATTCCAGCGGCTGGTCGAGTCCCCTTGTAGTATGGAGAAGAGCTTCCAGCGATAATATACGTGGGCAGGACCTTGGTTCTCGAACAGGAACCTGTGAATATGTTTACTAATAATCACGAGCTTCAATGAAATGTAAGAGAAAACTTTGAAAAGCAAGAATTTGGCCATACAAACAAGACATGCTCTTTAGGGCAGCTGGTACTTGGCATTTCCAAAAATATCAGCATATTACTATACTGGGTGCCAAAGCAAAATATATTGTTATAATTAATAGTATTCCTAAGATTTTAGCAATGGACAACTCAGCAAATTTCTGTTTCTAGTCACGGAGTGTACTAGAATTTTTTCTTCAACCCCAAAAAAGTAACGTCATTATTTGACTTTGATTCACATCAAAATATTCTAATGGTTTCAGTTTGTAAGACTCACTAAAAACACAGGGGCGTGTTCGTCTCGAGTTCAACTAGTTGACTTACCATCATTACAAATCTGTGTAATAAGTGGACTTACCTATAACAAGGGTTGCTGATTTCCCGATTCATGATCATAGCCTCGAACATCGGTCCTTCTCTCACAACAAACTCGATGGTGCGATGAATGAGCTGCAGCAACGCTCTGCACACCACACAAGGATATGTAATGTCTTGTGTAGTACGGGTAAATCGGAAAATGAACTGCATTGTTGCTTAAATTAATTTCGTTATTACGGAAAAGCAGAAGTTTGAATGTTATCTTAACGAATCTAGAATGGTACCCAAAAAATTTAGCACAAAGAAGTTGATTGTCTCTGGGACTCACGAAGAAAAAACGCTTAACAAGGCTGGGTCTTGCTACTTAAAAAAAAGGCATCAAAGCGAAATGGATGAAAATCACAAAAAAATTTTCGTGAATTTAATTTTCAAGTTATTAATAAAAAATTTCTTAGTGAATCTACTATTTTAACTTGCTCCATGTATTAATCAAAAAGAAAAAAAAAACATAAATATGGTTTATCTAGGCTAATTTGAATGACTATTATTTGAAATGTGTTCCAATTTATAACAGGTAGCAATGTGATATCGCTAAATCAAACAAGTTCTTTTAAATTTTCTCTTAAAAAAATAATATTAGCATAGACACAGGCAGATACACTAATATTCAGGGTAAAGCATGTTGTTCACATTGGTTGTTGAAAAGAAATACGGCGAGAACCTGGAAGTCATTAATCTCATGTTGTGAACAACATGATCATAATTGCCTCAGAATTAAGCTTAGACAATTATGAATACAATAGGATATTAAAGTTAACACGATAACAATATTCGACATAAATTACGTAACAAGTTTATTGAAATAATAAATGAATGAAAAGTTCGTGTCCACCAAGAAAACTTTTACAGGATTATGTTAAAGGATTACAGGATTATGTTAAAAAAATCCATTATGCAATACGTGTTTGCGAAAACAACAGATGTCTCCCGAGAACTTTCGATTTGTTGTCATATCAGCATCCAGTTTTTCGTCAGCATAAATTCCGTTTCATTAATTTAATAAACACAGTAGAATCGGAAATAGTAAAAATCCTACACAAAACATTGAGTACCTACTACTACGTAATGTGCTTAGAATAAAATATCAGTTACAAAAAGGAAACAGCACGCGATTCTCAACTCAGAAATCCAGGATTTGAATGAAATATTTAAATTAGCAAATACGATCGGCAATACAGCTGAAACAATTCATTTAAATTGCACCTTAAATGTAGCAAATATATGTTTCAAAATCGTCGGGATCTGAAATAATCACAACACAGTAAATATGACAACACCTCTTCGTTGTTTCATGATCGAATTTAAACTGCATTTCCAAACATAAAATCACCAATCATCAAGTGTTGAACGGATGCAACGGAGTCTTTCAAACAAATAAAATAAAATTCCAATGTAATACACTAAAGCTGATAAAATTACAGAAAAATCTATGGGTCTGAAAAATTTATAATGAAAGCTCATTTCGACATGAAGATGCAAAGACATTCATGAGAGTAGTCACGCAACAAATTCAGAAGTGTTATTTGGTAGCAAAAAATTATACGGACAAAAAAACTTGCACGGATTTTGTGTGGCCGTTTCATGAAATATCTTTGCTTTTTCATGTTGAACCTAATTCTGATTTTCAACAATAATATTTTGATTTATTTATAAATGAGTTAGTAGAGACAGGTAAATTTAAATCAGCCGTTTTAACTTCTTCTGGAAAAACATCTGAAATGTATGAAAATAATAAAAATACTGGTTCAATACAACGGCACTGACCTTATGATTGACAAATATTTTTATTTTTGCTGAAAAGAATAACAGAAATAGAAGCATTGTATTCTTAAATCATTTAATTGCATGTTAAGGTCGTATGTACTGAAATAAAATAAATGAAATACCGTAATATAAAAAAATTCCGTTATAAAAGTGGGTATGGAACTGTTGTATTTAGACAGAAAATGCGACAAGTGAATGAAAAAACAATAAAGCTCCTACAAGCGACCGATGTATTGAATGTTAATTGATACAAAATTTTCAAAAGACATACGGTACAACAAATACACAAAGATATAGCAAAAATCACAATGGATTCACTGAAAATATCATCATAAAACATTACCTTGCGTTTGAAATTAATAGACATTACCTTTGTTCTCATGATTAACCCAAAACTGCAGCAAATTATGCACAGTCAGTAAGAACAACTAATATATTTTTAGGCATGAACGCAATGCTAAGCTAGGCATTGGCTAGAATTACCTGTACACGAGGCTAGCTCCTCTCACACACCCTTCGATGCCCACGCATGTCTTCTCGAGCTGGCTTGCCTATACTAATAAATTAATTGACCAAACAGTCTTGGCAGAGCACCTTCAGTTCATCACAGGCACAAAAGACCAAGCCGAACTGGGTACGCGGTCAGTAGGTATTCGCATGCGAGTTATCATCACGCAGTCTGCCTAGGTTTGTTCAGCGTTCGAGTGTGTGTGGGAGTACAGACGTTGACAGTTCAAAGTTCAAGCATAACAGCACTGGATCATTGGGTGTTTCTGCGAATGTGTGCGGGCGTTGTGGGGTCAGAGCAAGACTTCACTCGTATTTGCATCACATTGCAAGGATTTTAACGTTCGGGCGGTCGAATTCCAAAGGCGTAGTCTAAGCCGAGCGACAATGAGGTGCCAAAAACGATCCTGGACGACACAGCACAGGGTGCTACTTCACGCTGCAAGAAAAACAATGGCCTAATACGCCAAAATATTTGCTGGCCTCCAGCCAGAACAAAGAATGCATAACATACACGGAACCCTGAACGACCAGGCACGATAAACGGGGCCAATTACCACCACACAGCCAATGGTTCCAACAATTCTGAAAGTGAACATCATTATGCTGAAAAGAGGATTATTAGATTCGCCTTAACTCTCGGTGGCCTGTCGGGATAATAATGGATTAAAGGACAGATGTTTTATCTTAAAATTACAATTATCGTTAAGAAACTTATCGCAGATCAAATGCTTAGGAAGCTAAGATACACCTTGAGCAAGCCAGCGTAACGAAACAAAAATTTAGATATTTTGATAATTGAGATGCAAAACGCTTATGCTAAACAGATTAAGAAAGCGCTGATGAACGCAAGAATTGTTTTGCAGGGAATATTACTAAATTTTGAATTGCTTTCACTTTTGAACCGTATTGAAATAAGAAGGAAAACATTGTGGCTGGCTTTGCCTAGATGTATGACTCACCGTCAGCGCGGAGTAGTATGGTTTTATAGAGGCTAGGGAGGCTTTACCTTTCTGTGGGGACAACCACTTTCACAACTGCTCTTTGTAAAATCTGTAGGAATAGATCGGCAAAACAGGTAATTCCTTGCAAGACGCAAACCATTCCACAATAACATGATGCTACGCGACAGTGAACTAGTTTAAAAAAATTAATTTCCAGCAGCATCACTTCATCGGGTCTACAATTTTTAATTTGAAGTTACGAACAATATGGAAAAATGAGGCAACAGAACTGGACAAATATACATGGTCTCTTTATATTTTCACTATATAATAATTGCAAAATTTACACCTTGCATGCGTGCCCCTTTTTGCGTTTGGCAATGATAAGTCCTTAGAAATGAAATTGATTGTTCAAAGTAATTAGACGGGAATAAAATGATCAACAATAATGAAATTGATGAAATAATATAATGATTCTATTATTCTATTGCTTCAAGCAGCAGAATAGGCATTTTTTCACCTTAATAAGTTGAATGTAGGCAAAAAAATGTTCCTAGACCATAGATCTTAAACTTGATAACTAAGATGTGATCTCTCATAGAGGAGTAGACTAGCTGAAAGCGATATTCTGTTTCAAATATACAAGCACGATTCATTTACCCATAAATGATAACATTATTGGTATGTAAATCTCAATGTTGGTTAAAATTATGACATCTACATAACACGAATAGAATAACAAGTTCTTGGGGAATATGTCACTGGAAAATAACCTTATAAAGAACAGGTATTTATAACTCAGAGGGAGTGTTTTCTTGGCCAAATTACAAATAGCCATATGACCTTGTTCCCGCGAAAGTTAAAGTTTTACGAATAAATAAACATTGATCGTAAATAGTTTTTCAGCGCAACTCTGCACTTCAAGATCACTAAAAGACATTTTAGTCTTGAAGCGAGATTTATGAATGAAATAACGCCAAATAAGGAAATTATATGGATAGCTCTCTTGCATGAGGCATCAAATGCATCTACAGATAAATGAAGAGAATTTAACAAGCATATTGACGTAGTTCAGAACGGTTTTTGAGATACATAAAACAGGGAATTAGTTTCAATAATGTTTGCAGATGATGAAATATTTAGTGGTAGAATCATTTCAGGTAAGGAAGACAATAACAAAAAGCACAATACCTCATCCATGGTCTTCTTCTCCTCTTCACGCAGCGTCAAACTGTTGCCCGCTTTTGCGATCTGACAAAATTATGATAGTCAATACCTCAATAAATCCTTGATTTGATCAACAATATATAGAAGGAATGGCACAGTAAAAATAATACAAGGCCATAGATACAAAAAAAAAAAATTATCGATCATTACACACGAACCGAACCAATAAAGAATCGAAGTTCGTATCGAAGAACACGAACCAAAACCAATAAAACATAAATATTTATGCTTTATAAAACGCAAAATCACACATATTCATCACTCAGAATTGCACTACAAAGAAGTGATAGAATTCTAGGATGGTGGTTCTATATTCATTCATGTATTTAAGATTGATCCACCTGGATGACTAGCTCGATACACAAATATCAAATAAATTATATAAGGAGAGTCTAGTTTCAGGTATTCCAACCCAACATGATATGCTTAACTAACGGTATTCATTTATTACCACTCTAGAATTCCTCTCTACTACAAGGAAGACATGGACACTGAAAAAGTGTCACTAGCTGAGTGGAATTCAGAATGGAAAATATCTGAACAGGTACCCATATCATTTTGGATCTAGCAATCTGGTACTAGATTTTCTTTTTATATTCCATCTGATATTTTGCAATTATTCAAGTTAACAGGCTAGATCAGTTAAGTTTATACCTCGTCCGCAGTGCCGGATACAAGCTTCTGTCCCAGTTCCCGGACCCGTTCGAGGTCCCGCTTGTCAGGTTGAGCGTTAAATGGTAGCCCTGACGGTGGCGGGGGCAGCGTCAAGTCCATTAGGGCAGGCGGGACATAAATCGGATGTACTGGAATTGGCACGGCCTTGCCCCAGCCCAACTTCATTTCAAAACCATCAATATCTTTGCCTGTAAATTAAAGGCGGAGCAATCCACACTCTTTCATTAGTTTTCACACTGAAAAAACGCTAACTTTTTCATTATAATTTCATTAGAAACATAAAAAGTGTCATGCTTCAACTCAATGTTTTGTAGGTATATTTGTGATGTTGCATCCATTTTGCTCTGCTGAAAAAGCGAGCGCTTACGAGAATATAAAGATTTATTTAAATTATTATATATTCATAATGTACAGAATCAACATATTAATTTTTTTAATCAGATCTAGGTTATCTGCTTCTGACATCTATTCATAAATCAATGTTTTAATCTTACATAACTAAGGTACGACATACATGGATCTATTTATAAATTTCAACCTTTGTTCCTCTGAAATTAAAATCAACATAAAATATAAATTACCTCAATCCATATGTTTTTGGAATTATATTTTGTCATTACTTGCATTTATATAGATACCCGCCTATACCTCAATAGATTCTGCATGCTTAATTCGTTTTCCAAATAATAAAATAGCCTTCAACTGAGAACAAGAATTTACAAACCATTAAGATTAGAGAGAGCTCGTTCTCCATCTTTCCTGTTCATGTAGGCAACAAAACCGCAGTTCCTGCCCCGGCTTTTCTCGTTGTCAGTGCGAGGCCACATTATTTTAATGGACGCTAAGGGACCATAACGACCAAACAGCTCCATCAGCCGCTGCTCGGTGATCTGAAAGCCATTCACAAATGAAAATAGAACACTAAATGGAAAGACAACAAAATTCTTCTTTGAATTTGCCATACTCGCGAAAAAAATTCCAAAAATTTTTGTTCTTTAATTTGATGCAAAAATTATGAACTCTAATTTTTTTTCAAAAAATGAAACAAAATTATAGTTTAATAGTTATGTGTTTTGAAATTATATAAATTTTCAATTTTGATTGAAAATTTGAGGTACGATTAAGAAAAAAAGTTCTGTGTTATAGAACATCAAATTGTGGTTGAGGTGAATCATAAATACAAGTAATATAAACATGCTCTAAGTATATATTGAGTTGTGATATGAAATATAATTGGGTTGATAAATAAAATATAGGAGTACGTATATGTCACTAAAGTTGCGCATGAAAGTAATATAGTAAATAATAAAGTTGCTCAGATCAGAGTATACTGGTTCTGCTTTATCTTTTACTTATTTGCTCACAATTTTACATGGCAATATCACATTAAAAGCAATGTTCTAAATGTTATTACTGACCAACTATGTTTTAAAGTCGTCAAGTGTTGCATCAGGTCAACATGCAACTGATGTTTATCCAGAAATTAGCTCGAAAAACAAATAAATATTGTAATTCATTCAATAAATGTGTTCAATGACAAATGAAAAACAAATTATAAGGCAACTACAGATAATGACAATACGCAGAGACACTAAAAATATCTTACTTTTGGACTAAGATTGCCAAGGTAAAGATTGGTTGTGCAGGGGTCACCGGGATCAAAGCTCCCAGGATTTGGTTCTTCAGAGGCTGTGAAAAATAATCAATGTATTAATTTATGGGAAAAATTGTCGAAAAAAATATATTTTCCCCTTCTCAGATATCTTAATAAATTATTTTATGACAAAAGAAATCAGAAGTGTACACAGATGACTAGATATACTGGGATAGATTATGAGGATTTCTGTGGACATTAATTTGGATACCAATGCTACAAATATTTGGAAGAAACAGTTGTACAGAACAAATATTGAAAGTGGCCAAGTATTGTTGGGAATGAGAATTACATTGGATAATGTGGAAGACACTACATTGAATAATATCAATATTACAGAACAAACCTCCAAAGGGAAATTTAACAGGCAAACAAATTTTTTTGTACTAAAATAACTAATAATGGACCTTAAATATTTTTAGTGGGCTAACCTAATTTTTTAAAGCCACATTATTAATGTAGAATTCCCTGCCATGTATCAGAAATTATATAGCAATATAAAGCAAGACTTACGCAGGCCCATAAAACCGGGTATTTTGACATCTGGAGCCTCAAACCTTGAGGACTTGCCAGAGTCTCTCTGGTAAATATTCTTGAGTCTGTGACGTTCTGCTCTCTCCTCTTGTATCCTGCAAATAACTCAACTGTTAGTTCAACATATTTCCATGTTGTGCACTCAGAAAAGAATGTTGGTAAATAATTGCTAAGAACCCCTTCTATCATGTCATCATCCTTTAAAATTATTATTGATAGAAAAGTTTTGCAGCCACTCTGAATACTAATAAAAACTTGCTAAGAACCCATTAAATCATTTTAAATCATAAAGATAGCACAAAATTATAGCCACTCTCTGAATATACCTACTGATAAAAACTTGCTAAGAACCCCTTCTATTATGTCATCATTTGAAATTAAGATAACCAAAAATTGTAGCCACTCTGAAAGTAAGCAAAATCAGTTGGTAGTTGATTGGCATTATGATAAAAATTGCTAGGACTGGAATCTAAGAATTAAAATAAACTCACATTTTCAATTCTTCTTTGAACAATTCTAAGTTGGTTTTCTTTTTGTCTTTCTCTTTCTTCTTGCCAGGCTTGTCTGGTCTGTCAGCCAAATTTGCTTTAAACTGAGAAGCTTTCTCAGCAGATGAGAACTTCTCTGCAAGTTCTGCAAGCTTTGACATTGGCTTGTATAGTTTACCTTTATCCTTGTTATCTTCCCCTGCAAAATAAAGATTAGATGCTATGAACTACATAATTAATAAATACAAATACCTACACATGTGTCTTGAATAATACACTTAAGTACAAATGTATTTCAAATAATATACCTATGACATTGACAGAAGTCAGAATATTTTTCCCAAATTAAATAATTATAATAATACATAAATAATAATTTTCATGAATATTTTAGTAAAAGATTTTCTTACTCCTTGACCCAGCATCGAAGGTTCCAGCTTTAACCCAGACCTTGTCCTTAGGGGCAGATGACTCATCAAAAGTGGCCATGAACTCCACATAGGCCTGAGAAATGATAACAAATATGGGTTCATCTTATTGCACAGAAAGTCAGCTTTATCAAGTCATAGTAATGACTGACTCAACTCTTGACTCTGTTATTAAAGCTATGACTCCTGTAAAGAATGTTTTGGCTTTTCATTTACAGGGGATTTTAGCAAAAAAAATTTAATTAGTATACAGATCTTTTGAGAGATGACATAACTGTAGAAATTTTTATTCTTGGCTTTCATTGATGAACTTCTAAGATATGAAGTGACAAATTTATTTTATTCTGATATTGGTCATTTTAATGATAGAGTAATAACTTGCTATTACAAACTAATTTTTGTACTTAGTAAAGATCTGACTTAACCCTTTACCGCCCAAATTTCTGGGTCAAAAATCGCAAATTTCACTTTTTTGGTATTTAGTCTCACCTTAAAACTGACATTCTGACCTATCCAACGGTATCAAAATCATCTCTGTATGTTGATTTATGCCTTGATGACAGTTCGTTAAAGGGTTGGGGGTGGGGGAGTTCTTTCACATTTAAGATAGGCAAAAATTGCCGGCGGAGCACATAAATAGATGACCTGAAGACACTGATCTTTAGTTACCCGTCTGCTGTTGTGTGGGATGCTGCACATGCAGTTGTTCCCACCATCCTTGACTGAATTTCAGCTCCAGTAACGTCTAGTCTTTTATCCATGCCACCTTGAATGCCTATTTCGAGGCGCATGGGACTTTGCTGCGCTCTACTGAACATTCACACTTATTGTCTCTACAAACCTATCTCCTCCTAGAGTTTTTAACCAACAGCAATGAGAGATATATTGTTCGATTTGAAAATAAAATATCTAGAGATTGGCCTAAGCTTTTTTTCAATTTCATTATAGTTTTGAAAATATTTTGAAATAAGGGGGCGAGGGGAATTCGAAAGGGTGGAGGAGGAAATCACAATTTTTTTGAAAAATGCCCACCCACCCACAAAAATGAGAATTTTGAAAAACAGCAAGGACCAATCGATAGATATGGTCCTTATGCATCGAATGATATGCGTCTCAATGTTGTAGCTTAAAAATCCTAGGAGGAGATATATTTCTACAGTACTCCCTTTTCGGCTGTTTTCTAAGAATTTCACGCTTCCTTCCATTTTTTTTAATTCACACAAACAAAAAAGTCTTAGATTTATTTTTTACATGTGTGTACCAAGTTTCAAAGTGATGTCTGTAAATAACCGAAACAAAATTTCCACAAGAAATTGGAAATTGCCATTGGAAATTGGAAATGTTATTATGGTTATTTACAGACATATAACGTTGAAACTTGGTACACATATGTAAAAAAAAAATCTAAAATTTTTTTGTTCATGTGAATTTTTCGAAAAAATGAAAGAAAACGGTGGTAAAGGGTTAAAACAAGATTTGTATTTTATAAATCTTAGAAACCTCTTATTTCCCACAGCAGAAATGAACACAAACCTTTTGGAATTACAGAGAGGCTTTTCAAATATAAAGGTTTTAAATACAGGCAAAATTACTTCTTTACCAACATATGAACTAATGATATATAGGCATACCTATATATCTAGATATATCAATAAATATTAGGCTGCAATATATGCATACCAGTATCTGTGATGTCATACCTGAGCAGCAGCTTCCTGCTCCATTTTCTTTCTCTCATCATCCAGCTCCTTCTTTGTCTTGGCACGGCTTGCCATTATGAATGGTACTGATGACTTAATTTGGGTTAAACAAAAAAAAGTCAAGAAATTATTTACAAAATTATTGTAACAAGAAAAAATTTTTTAAAAGAATTTCTCATGATAAAGTATCATTTTTAGATAAGTGCAAGCAACATGGTTGGCTGGATACCAAAGTACTACTAGATTCTGCAAAGGAAGAAATAAAATGAATCAAATATTTTTAAACACAAATAACAGTGAGAAATAACATTGCCAACAACAGTATCAGCAATAGAGAATATTAGATACTAAAACTAGGTTCATTGTCTTGGATGACAGGTCCCTAGACTAATGGCAACGGCCAGCCATGTAAATTTAGAATGCAGCGGTAATTGGAAAGAAAGGTTACAATCTAATCACTTGCAAAAGGCTTTAGTGATTTCATTCAGAATTTAAGATATGCTGGCATTTTGAGAAAATTTGTTGGCCCACAGCAAATTCTAGAACATACAGCGTTGTGACATGTGATTGGAGCAGAAATAATGAAATTTATAACAAGCTAAACACACCGGAATGTTGATTTTCATATACAAAGTTTCATGTAAATATGTTCAGTAGTTTTGTATATAAATATATCTGGTTACTAGTACAACCATTTTGCACAGGACCAGTCAGACAAAAGTGCATGAGCATTAGCATTAGCGTGGGTTACAGCGTGGGCTAGCTTGGTCCTGAACCTGCCCTACACCTGCTCTCCCTTTAGGTAAGTTTCATTTCCTCAATTCCTAATAATAATTATGAAATTAAATACATGGTTCTACATGCTTATTGCGCAGTCCCGACGATTTTTGTTTTCTTTTTTACCTCATAACCTTTGCATGTAAAATGGCAAAACGGGTGCAAACAGGCAAATTCAGTCCCATAGCTACGTTTTATTCCCTCATCGATGGACCTCAAGGTTTGGTTAAGTCAGCAAAGTTCTTTTTTATTACTAAAAATAACTTGGCAGACTTGACCTAACCTGCGAAAACTCTCGACTTCAAAATCATCATTTTATGTGTTTTTTAATGACCGGGCCCACGATCTGGTATTATTCTGGTATGGGCCTGGTCTGGTATTATACCAGAAATGAATGGGTGTGGTATGCTCCCTTATGTACCTTAGGTACCATGCCTTCTTATGTAAAAATATAAAAAAATGATCGCGACTGCGCAATAAGCATGTAAAACCATGATTTTAATTTTATAACTATTGGTTACAAATTGAGGAAATAAAACCTTCCTACGCGACTGAATTCGCCCGTTTTACCGTTTTATTTGCAATTGAGATGAGGTAAAAAAGAAACCAAAAATTGTCGTGGCGGCACAATAAGCATGTGAAACCATGTATTTAATTTCATAATTATTGGTTATGAATTGAGGAAATAAAACGTACCTACATAACTGAATTTGCCCGTTTGCACCCATTTTACCGTTTTATTTTATTTTAATTGACATGAGGTAAAAAAGAAAACAAAATTGTCACGAATGCGCAATAAGCATGTGAAACAATGTAGTATTTAATTTCATAATTATTGGTAACAAATTGAGGAAATATAATGTACCTACGCGACTGAATTCACCCGTTTGCACCTGTTTTTCCGTTTTATTTGTAATTGAGATGAGGTAGGTTCAGGGCCAGGCTGGCCCACGCTGTAACCCATGCTGACGCTCACGCACTCTTGTCCGACTGGTCATTGTCCTTGATGTGGCTGCTAACATGGGTGGCAGCAAGGCCCTCACTGAATTGTACTTAGCAGTCATGGCAAGTCAAAGGAAAGATAACCTTTCCAATGATACTCTCGATATGAGAACCCTTGTGAATTTTGTCATGCTAGGCATTTCGTGTCCAGAGGCAATTTGGAATATAGCTCAAATTTATCTAGAGGGAGATGTACGAAATAGAGTCGCTAAACACAAAGTACAAATATTCACTGACATTAGGATGCAAGCGAAGAATAAGTACGCACGCAGCAAAGTTTTGAACAGGAGAAAAAATTTACCCAAAATTTATCCATACATAAAATGAACCTAATCTGGTCTAGTATTTCTTCATCCCTTTAAGAAGTTTGTGTTAGTTTGTTGAACATTGTTCCAGATTGAGTTACATTATGGAATTTGCAAACGGATCTTTTCATGTTTTTTGGCCTTTACCGTCAACCGGGGCTACACGGGACAGTCCTCCAACACAGTGCAAAACTGTTATAGTAGAAAAACTAATTAGAATATTGCAAAACTAAATATAGTGGCGTAAACGTCAACATTTTTCCTATCTATGTAGTATAAAGGAAGTCAAAAAATACTACATTTACTAGCTATTAAAAATTCCTGAAAAACTGGTGAAAAATGCTATTTTAAAAGTTACTTCTGCTAAGGTCTGTAGCAAAAAAAAATTTTATTTAAAGCAATTTATTTATTAAGCATCATAAAAATTGTAAATGAGAATTATACCTTAAGAAGATTTAGAGTAATAATTTTGCTATCAAGAATCCTAAAAATTTTAACTACAAATAAGTTGAGCAATAATGTAATAATTTTGCTAACGAGTATTCTAAAAAGTTCAACTACAAATAACTTTAGCAATAATTTAATCTAGCAAGCAAGAGTTCAGGAGCACGACGCACAGCAACGACGGCTCTGGCGTTGTCGTCGGTGAAGTCGAGTCCCTCGCTCACTTTACCGCGACACACGGCCAGCAGTAGCGCTCCGTCCACGCCACCCCTGCGCTCATACCTGCAACCACGTCATATTTTTAGTGTTAATCCCTATTATTTATCATAGAATACGGTCTTGTAATATAAACTAGAATAATCAATAATATAGAAAATATTATTACACGGCCAGCAGCAGCGCTCCGTCCACGCCACCCCTGCGCTCATACCTGCAACCACGCCATATTTTTAGTGCTACACTGTTAGAAAAAGTTCCTCGGGAACTTTTTCAGGAGTGCTGTTGTAGTATTTAGCCCGAGTTAAGTTAAGAAATTGCCACTATATTTTATATTGCCACCCCACCCCTCCGCTCAAACCTGCAACCACACCATATTTTTAGTGCTACACTGTTAGAAAAATGACCGTTAATGGTATTACCGGCGTTTCAGTGGCCGGTCGGCACGTGAAAAGAAACACCGTGTCGCCGTTTTTATTCTAATTTAACACTAGAAATCAGTTAAACATTTGATAAAAACGGCGAAACAGTTTATTTTCACGGGGCAACCGGCCACTAGAACGCCAGTGGGACCGTTTTTTCACCGTTTTTTCTAACAGTGTAATTACTATTATTTATCATAGAACGCGGTCTTATAATATAAACTAGAATGATCAATAATATAAAAAATATTATTTGTTTGCAATAGACTTTGCTACTTTGTTCGAGTAGCATTAGGGGCTGCTCGACTACTTTTTGAGGTTATAGAAAATTTCATACGTGTTCATGATTTTATGGTGGAACACCAAAGCGCTAGGAATAATATATATATAGTCTTATTTCTTCTTGGTCAAAGCAATAACGTGACGAACCTGCTTTACAATGGGTTTATGAAGTCAAGAACGCCGTTGAATCATTGTAAAAATATAACTTAGTACTCACTGCAGTGAGCGACAGAGCGCATTTTTTCGTCGACGAAAACGCGAAGTCACGGATGGACAGACAAACGGACGGACAGACGGATATGGCGAGCACAATAGTGCATTTTTTCACAAATGAGAAAATGCGCTAAAAACTACTGTAAGCTTCAGATCACTAATAGTTGCTAGAGTATGTTTTTACATTTTTGCCTAACATGATGGAAATACATCAACTCAAAGGCAAGAAATTGCATCAATGTATTTTCGGATTCATAATAGGCGACATATAATTAAAGAAGTATTAAAGAAGTTTAAACTATTAATTATAATGTGAAGATGTCAGGTGATGGTTAGGTTTCATTGTGGTGAAGAAATGACAAATACTTAGTGACAATGATAGTTAAAAGCTGGTACTCGTAAATAATAATGATTGAACGCATGGAACTAAAACAAAGCTTAATATAAAGGAAAAGCTGGAGAGGTGACGGAATTACCTACGATGTCGGAATATACCGCGTTTACCCCAGCTGTAAGTGTAACTTCTGTAAGCCTACATCATACCTACATAACAAATTAAATAACTCAACCATACATAAGAAATTGATTAAATTACTGAATACATGAGGCAATTAAAAATTAGGTATGGTTAATAATAGTAGATTCTAAAAAATTTCTGGTTAGCCACTAAAAGGCCCACTATCACTATGTCCTCACTTTTCATTCATTCTTACTAATTTGGATTTTGCCAATTAAGAAAAAGTGCAATGAATCAAGTCCGAACCATGAACCATAAATGTAACCTTCTACCTCTATATATACGGTTTTTCTTCATGTAAATTCAACTCGGCCGACGGCCGGTACTGATACACTACGATACGTCAAGACTCAAGTCCTTACTCACTCCTTAGCGTTAGCTACGGCTTCAATGCGTTTATTGACTTAGCATATAAAACCGAAATAAAATTGTGCATGAATTTAATATGAGCTACAAAGACGTTAATCACATTTTTCAGCTCTAATTCTATGTAAACATTAAACTTGAAGCTTTTTATGAACACTAATTCCCCCATGGGCCACAAACAGTTTTATTGATAAATACCGCTCAGAACGTAAACACAGGGAGATGATCTAAAGGACGATCAAAAAGCGCAGCTGAGCAAATTCCAGCAGGTATTTAACGTAAAGTTGAAGAGCTCACTTCCACACAAATAATTCATTATTTCCATTTTACACAAAAAAGTAAAACGATAAAGCATTTAATCATCACAGGTTTCAAGGCAGGTCACTCGCATTACACATTCAAGTAGAGGCTCGCTCTCAAACCTTAATTAATTAACAAGGCTCACTGATGAGTGTGCCGGGTAGTTCGACACTTGGGCGGGTAGTAATTCTTGTCCCGGCTGGAATCAATCAGACGCTCATCTTGCAAAAGTCGATTAATGATTATTTTAGGGAGTACATATATGTATCTAGATTATACTGTTCATTTCCGATGCTGGCTCGCTGTTCTACCAGTGTACTGACACTGGTAGAACAATTCACTCGCTGCTCTACCAGTGTTTCGACATTGATAGTCGCCTTTGGTCGGTAGTTCGATTAGGACAAGATTGCATTCAGCAATAACATAGCAAATTACAGACCCAGCGTAGTGTCCAATTTTGCAATAACTTCATATTGCTCCTCATGATAAAATGCATAATATATGTACTATGCTTTCGACGTCTGAAAGCTTCTATAGTCGGAAGTTTCATAGCCACTTCCAAAACACGAGCTACCTTCTAAACTTACACATCATGAGAGTACCTTTATATATACACAATTACCCGTTTAACGCAATCGTACCGGAACAAATTTCATGTCTAAATTCAATTCGTTAATCATGAACCTTTTCATATCACAAATGATCTGGATATGCGCAAGTTATAGCTAACTCAAATTGCATGGTTTCTACTTCAGTCATTCTTAAGGGAGTAATAACGAATGCGTGTTCAAATATGTATTTGACGATGGCATCAAATTTCGATGATTTACATGACGAATGACGTTGAGTGTTCTACAAGCGTTAGATATGATCAACATACAACTAATAAACGAGACAATCTTTTAAATCAGTTGATCCCTCGTGACAGGCCATGATGTGTGCCGGCATTCAAGTGAATGGCTAACGTTTGTATCAGACAAGGCCAGAGCAACACCAAATGACATTCAAATGTCAAATAATTTTTCTTCACAGTACCTAATAATAAATTTACCACAGCCTCTCAATCGTTACCGATGCAAAAGATTTAAATTCACAGTATTTCACTTACCTACTACCTACATCTCAAGAGTATGAAACGTTATAACAATTGAAAATCTATTTTGATGGAAGGTTATAGGTTTCTAATACGGATACTACCGTAACTCACGGCTAAAATAACTTTAAAATCACAATCAAGTATCACAATACAAAGATATGAATTATCGGTAAATTGGAGAGGTAACTTGGGCAATTATGGGCCGGAGCGGATTATTCTCCTTGTGATTCTTAACATTTCCGTAGAGGTAACCAGGCGAAAAACTCCCGACGATTGGGGTTAGCTTTCTTGAGCCGACAACTGAGTTTGCTGTATTTATTAATTTGTTGGCTTTTCACATTATTATTATGGATATACACAATTATCCATGTAACGCAATCGTACCGGAACAAATTTCATGTCTAAATTTAATTCGTTAATCATGAACCTCTTCATATCATAAATGATCTGGATATGCGCAAGTGTGAGCTAACTCAAATTGCATGGTTTCGACTTCAGTAATCTTAAGGGAGTAATAATGAATGTGTGTTCAAATATGTATTTGACGATGGCATCAAATTTCCATGATTTACATGACGAATGACGTTGAGTGTTCTACAAGCGTTAGATATGGTCAACATACAACTAATAAACGAGACAATCTTTTAAATCAGTTGATCCCTCGTGACAGGCCATGATGTGTGCTGGCATTCATGTGAATGGCTAACGTTTGTATCAGACAAGGCCAGAGCAACACCAAATGACATTCAAATGTCAAATAATTTTTCTTCACAGTACCTAATAATAAATTTACCACAGCCTCTCAATCGTTACCGATGCAAAAGATTTAAATTCACAGTATTTCACTTACCTACTACCTACATCTCAAGAGTATGAAACGTTATAACAATTGAAAATCTATTTTGATGGAAGGTTATAGGTTTCTAATACGGATACTACCGTAACTCACGGCTAAAATAACTTTAAAATCACAATCAAGTATCACAATACAAAGATATGAATTAGGTCCTTAGTTGCTGATGACTAAAGACTTAAGGCACCAGGAAAAATTCACCTTGAAAATCAAATCATGCTAAAGAAGAGGAGTGCAACGTAGTATTGTATTTATGAATGATCAAAGGAATTAAATATTAGATTTATTTAGAACAAACTCCGCGTTTGAATTAGAATGTGAAGGACTTTTTTCTTTCTCTCAGTCTTTTAAACTCATCGGCTGAATGACACGATGCAGCTTTTTTTGTCTAGCCAAAGTTTCATAAGTAGAACGTGAAAAGAAACCTAACGTTTAATACATGGAATGAAGCAGGACTCTCACTTCAACAAACTGAAATCAGCACATCACAAATATTACAAGCAAGCCTTCCCATGTAAAAGCAGGCGAAATATTTCAAATCATTATAAGACACGGAAAAGCACGAGAAATTCGATTTAGTTCGAAGGCCAACGTATAAGTAACAAGTTTAGCTTAAATCCACAATGCCGTTTAAACTGACTTTAAAAGCAGTCATGCTATCCACAAACAGAAATGCACCATAAAGCAACAAAAAATTACATCCTTTTTTTAAGGTAACCATACAATTGAATTATCAAAAAGACATACAATTGGATAAAAACGTACGCAAATAATATCATGTTAAATGCATGCCAATAGAAGACCTGCTTACAATTCAACTGTTGAACAAATGAAACAAAAAGTGATTTGTAATGTACAATTACATTTAAGAAGTTTAAAAGATGTCATGAAATACAAAAACCAATATGTCAACCATAAACAACGCTTCATTAGGATTCATCCTGGAATTTGGAGAACACAACTCCTCGGTTCCGCTTGATCGTTTGCCTCACGCGTCTCTTTATTTCCGGGCTTCTCCGCAAGCTCTGACGAGAAAATTTCCTTTAATTGAAATTTTAATGTATAAAATTAGCCTTTTCCTCACCATTTTTGTAATTTATAAGTAAGCAGTCATATTAAATTTGTTTAAAAATGCACAATATAAGAGGACGTGACGTCTTCCCCGACACTTACCGTTTAGCTCTTCGTTTTTGCACATGTTTGGTACTCTAAAGCTAACTTCCATATGACTATTGAAGATGAACCTAGTACACAAAGTTCTAAAAAAGGTTTTGAATTTTATTTATTGACTCGGTTATAGAATGAAATGAATGATGCAAATAGAGATAGGACCATGTTAAAATTTTGACATTTCATGCATTATAAAAAACAGTAATTCAGCCAAATCACTATGAAAAATATGAAATTGCCATTCTATATGGTTATAGAACGAGATGAATGATGCAAATAGAGATAAAACTATGAAAAATTGAAATGAAACCTCCTAAATATAACCTTACTATCATGATGGCAATCATTTCGATTAAAACATATTTATATAATGACGACTTTTACCTTGTCCATGTCGAAGTCATCCATGTCAGAATCATCGGAAGGAGGCGACACGACCACTGGTTTCACAGGTCGGCAGTTCAGACTAGGAAGCTCCGATTGATCTGGGAGAAGAATTCGCATCAGACTCGTTCATGTTTATAATGCTCATAAACTGTAGTAATAAGATTTACAAGCATTATGTTGAGAATGCTGAACTCTTTTCCGCGTGGGTCGACTCACAATTCCTAGTCAAACGTCTTGTGATTGCATTGAGAGGAATCATGCCACTTATAAATTTATAGTCATCTGAAAGCAATATCCTAAAGTTGGGGTTGACAACGCCATGCCAAAGTGAAAAAGCCATAATATAAATAATTTCCTAGAATTTTTCAAGAATTATATCACAACTGTAATTCAAAACGTGCATTTTTTTAACGGTAGATTTCTGGTGTAAACTCACCAGACTTTCCGTCGCTTGGCACTCCAGTTGGACGAACGCAGTTCAAAATATCAGGTAAGTTTTCACTAACATCACTGGTGTCATCAAACAGAAATGACGATGCCAGACGGGAAATCCCATTAATTTCCGACTTTACGTGGGTCACCGAGCTGACGCTTTGAAATTCACTATCAGTTGAATCGGATGATTTGACAGCCGGAGACAAAGCTAGAATTTTTTTAGCTGATGTAAAAGTGAATTTTCGTTTGGGGCTGTCATCTAAGGATGAATCAAGAGTATTACATTCTTTCTTGGCAGGTGAATTCCTGGCAGGCAATTCTTGCCGACGTTTTCGATCTAGGCAAGTTGATGATAAGGAACTCAACGTGGATGGTGAAGTTGTAAGCAACTTGGCGCTCACAAGATTAGCAAGTTGAGACGACGGTGTCGAAACCTTGTCTGCTGCGTTGGTATCGAGTCCGCGTGGGCATAATATTTTCTGTTCCTCAAGCGCCATATGGGAATGACGAGTATCAGAACTCACAGGCAGAGTCAAGTCGACAACAGCAGTGGTGTCTGTCAGAAGAGTGACGTCATCGTCCAGAGTTCGATTCAGAACCCCGGTATCACAAGAACTTATTTGACTCAGCTCAGGCGGAATGATGTCCAGAAGAAGGGACGATTTTGTGCCGGTCTCACCAGATGTACTTGCGAAGTTGATTTGAGTGGACGTCATGGGACCGTAATCATTCGATGCACAAGATTTCAATTCATATTTAGGCACAAGTGTTGAAGTAGTTGAACTGCATGGGCCGGTGGCAAGTTTGTGAGAAGCAAAAGACGTCATAGCTGAGTAGCCTTCGCTGCCAGAAGTAAGGGGAGGAGACTTGTTTGCTTCTTTTTTGATACTGATGGGAAATTAGAAGAATTTGAGCAGATCACACATATCAGGTAAGACAGAGGTTGACTATGAACGACATGCTGAACATTAATTTGCGAAGAAGACAGGGAAATATTCGTTGCGAACTATCGCAACGACTTCCTCGACTTTGACCGCATTTTTCTACATGACCATGATTCTATATGAAGCCGAAAACGTCGAAGAAGCAATTCAACGAAGAAGTAATAAACAATCATAGAGGCAAGAACATTCAAAAAGTCGTTAAGGATCTAAAAACAACCTGGCACCTGAGAAGCAGGTACAGGCAATAAGGTTTTGGTATTTGAGGATGGTTAATACATTACAACATCATGGTTCTCAAGGACACTTCGGTATATCGCGCGAGATGTAAGAAAAAAATATCAACGACTTCCAAGTTCATCAATAGATTCGTACAGAATAAATATCAAATGATACCTTCGCACATAGATAGATTAATAACTAAAAGGACCAAATGGTACATCACAAACATTGTCAAGAAGAACGATTAAAAGCGTCACACCAACTCACGGAGTGACAGGTTTCTTGGGCGGGTTCAGGCTGAGTCGCTGCGCAAATTCAGAGAGGTCGAGCAGAGCTTCCTTGAAGGAGCTGTGGTGCACAACCTGGTCCCGCACCCACCGTGACAAGCTCCTGATGTAGCGGTTGTGTTGTCCCTAGAATATTTATTATATTGTATAAGAATATTATACTATAAAAAATATTAATAACATAATATCCCGCACCAACCATGACAAGCTCCTGTGTCGTCCCTAGAACATTTCCACAGTATATATCATTCAACATATAATAAAGAAAATATACGAGTGTTATACACAAAGAGATTTCATCAAGGGTTAACGAAGTTTGTAAAACCACTAAAAAGGGTTAAAAACACAAAGTGATAACAAAGTGAAGATTAAAACCAAAAAAGGCTAATAACCACTTGGTGGGCTAATGACCCACTTGGTGGGCTAATGACCCACTTGGTGGGCTAATGACCCACTTGGTGGGCTAATGACCCACTTGGTGGGCTAATGACCCACTTGGTTCTCGCGCTGCTGGTAACGCACGTCGACGAGCAGCAGCGCCCCCCAGTCGTAGCGGTGACGCAGGCAGCGGCCCAGCGCTTGGTTCAGGGCTCTGAGGGACACATCAATGACATAGTTACCCATGTAATGAATTACTTTATTCACCTACATGTTACCTTGGTAATCAGCAAAGTAAATACATTATTCCTACAGAATCGAGTTATCCAAATTTGATAATACAATAATGCGATTATGAACGTGAAAAATTATTTACTAATTCATGATTCAGACATACCGCCACATCATTCAGTCATGATTCAGCTGCTGGATTCATCTTTGGTATAAATAAAAATTACATGTATACCATACATTAAATATACTACTATATTCAACGAACCTGTGATTTATTTTTGTATGGCGGTGTCAAAGACAATACTTACCCACGCAGCTGAATATATTATTCTTGAAAATTTAGTCATGCGAAATAATTTCTCGCTTCATAAAATTGAAGTTATTATGTCTTCGTTTCAAATCCACTAGAATTGCTTCGGATTTTTGGTCTTCATATATCTAAGGCTGATATTCATAGATCTTAACTTAAGAGATCTCAAGTGGACTGAGGGAACTTGACTTTGTATTCCTAGTATTTGATTTGCTTTAAAAACTATACATAATTATAATACAAAAACTACCATAAATCGGTATTTTTAATATTTATTGCGTCTTCCCAAGTCGCTACCAGCCAACAACAAACCTATTCAATACCAGAAATTTAATTTCAGTACTGACCTGTAAGCCTGAATCTCATACCAGTCGCTACCAGAGAATAACAAACCTATTTAATACCAAAAAATATCTTTTTCAGTACTGACCTGTAAGCCTGCCTGAATTTCATACCAGTCGTTACCAGAGAACAACAAACCTATTTAATACCAGAAATGTAATTTTAGTACTGACCTGTAAGCCTGAATCGCTTACTAGCCGCTACCAGAGAACAACACACCTTTAATACCAGAAATATAATTTTAATACTGACCTGTAAGCCTGAATTTCGTACCAGTCACTACCAGAGAATAACAAACCTATTTAATACCAAAAAATATCTTTTTCAGTACTGACCTGTAAGCCTGAATCTCATATCAGTCGCTGTAAATACCATAAATATAACTTCAGTACTGACCTGTAAGCCTGGATCTCGTACCAGTCGCTACCAGACAGCAGGCCCCGGGAGCGGTGATGCTGCGTGTTGTACTCGCGCTTGTGTGTCACCTGCGCATCCTTGAAGTTCGGGAACGGGATGCCAACCTGCCGAGCGCACGAGAAATAATCATTATAATATTTTATAACTAAAAATAACTAGAAGATTTATTCAAACCAACAATTTACTTATTGAGCATCATAAAAATTGTAACTGAGAATTACTTTAAGAATATTTAGAGTGATAATTTTGCTATCGAGCATTCTAAAAATTTTAAACTACAAATAACTTGAACAATAATTTCATTTATCAAGCAACAATTCAGGAGCACGACGCACAGCAACGACGGCTCTGGCGTTGTCGTCGGTGAAGTCGAGTCCCTCGCTCACTTTACCGCGACACACGGCCAGCAGCAGCGCTCCGTCCACGCCACCCCTCCGCTCATACCTGCAACCACGTCATATTTTTAGTGTTAATCCCTATTATTTATCATAGAATACGGTCTTACAATGAAAACTAGAATAATCAATAACATAAAAAAATAGATCAGTAACGGCAGTGAGTACTGATCTGACAGAGAGCGCATTTTCTAGTCCGTCCGTGAACTCACCAGACGGACGGACGGACATCGCGATCACAATATTGCATTTTTTTCACAAATGAGAAAATGCGCTAAAAACTGCGGCAAGCTTCAGATCAATAATAGTTGGTAAAGTATGTTTTAAATTTTGTGCCTAATCTGATGGAAATATATCGATTCAGAGGCAAGGAATTGCATCAATGTATTGTCGAATGCATAATAGACGACAAATACCTATAAGGTATTGAAGATGTATGGACTATTAATCATGACGTGAAGATGTCAGGTGATGGTTAAGTTTCATTGTGGTGATGAAAGGACAAATACCTAGTGATAGTGATAATGAAAAGCTTGTACTCGTGAATAATAATGGTGTACCTGGTGTTGGTGATGGTGTCATAGAAGTCACTGATGGTGCGCTCGAACTCCTCGGAGCGTCGCGGCTCAATAAACACTCTCTTCTTCTCGCCCAAGCCGCGCCAGATGCCGCCCCCTTGCCACCTGAAGGAGGTTGCGGACATTAATATACATAACTAGTTTCTCAAATTCATACATCGTAAATTAATCAGTGAATTACAATTTGTACTGGCATAATTGTATCTTACAAAACATACGACATTACAGAAGGAATTCGGAAGTTCATTGAACATTTAAAATTAAAGAAAAAATCAACCATACCTTCATCAAAAAACGTTTCAAAGACCAGCTTCATCATCAGTTCAATAGAATTTCAACGAATTCTAGTACAATCAATGAAGAAAACAGAATTTAAATAAAAAATTAAAACATAGTATCGAATAAACCAGATAGAGAGCATAAAAAACTATCGATTAACCTATCGATGCCATGATTATTCCCATATTCTGGATAAGATAGCACACCTTGAGACGAGCTTATCGAGAAGCGAATACGATGGCAAGAAGCAGAGCACGCCTCGGGGCACCGCACGGCACACCGAGATTAGCAGGCACCCAAGCTCGTCCTGACAGGCGGAAACTTCTTCAGACAAGCAAAAAACCTTAGCAGTACTAAAGCAAAATTATTTAGATAACTGGAAACTTGGTGGTGCAAAAGAAATATTGTTCACAATGGTGGAAAACCTTTGCTGTGCTTACGTGAATTGTTTAGAAAACTGTAAACCTTTGCTGTGCTCACGTGAATTGTTTAGAAAACTGGATAACCTTAGCGATACTTAACAAATATTGATCATACAAGTTGAAAACCTTCCCAGTGCTCCAGAAAAAATGAGCTCGTATCGCTATAGACAGACTAGGTGTATAAGAGCGAGACTTGGGTCACACTTTCGCAGTGCCTGAATTAATGAAAGGAGACCACCAATTGGAGGTATTTGGCACAATAAACAATGAGCTCAGCGATAATTGATCCCATAAACGTTGGTTTCTGAGCATCAACAATCGTGAGCACTTCAGATATCATAAGTATACATAGAGAAAAATAAAAAATGCATAAAATACTTCATAACTATAAACTCGTGGACACGCAAGACACTATCGCAGAGTTGAAGTTAAAAACCTGAAAATGTGGCATCTCAGTGAAGCGATAGGTAGCCTGGAGAGGCAGGTTGTTCGGTCCTTGTCCCACGGTCCCAACCCACACCTGAAAAATACAATGATTTTAATAGAAGTGGTACATTAATTGAATTAATTAGGAGATAGAAATAATTGGAAGATAGAAATAATTAATTGATATAATAGAAGCTACACATTAATTTAAATGATTCCAGAATGAAATGCATATAAATCGTCATGTAAATAAATGAGGTATTGCATAATTAATGTATTCTAGGATGAAAAATATGTCGAACGTCACTTCAATAATAACCAGCAGATGCCAGCTATAATTTGTTACAGTAATGATAAAAAATAATCCGTAATACTAATTATCTGAGGAGAACAATTTCCCTCGCAATAAATTGGATATGTCGAGATTTTTAAGCAATATCTTAGTAATTACGCTCGTTGAAATCACGCGCTGGAGTTTGTAACCATCAACGTATTATTGTTAAGGAGATTATTTCGAAGGACCTGTTTGTCATAAATATGATATATTGATCCTTCATGACGAAATGACGAATGTTAGCAATAGCATGCATGTTGTCCATCAGCATGAGGCGCGTATTGACATTGATTAATGGACTAATATTTATATTAGATATGCCGGTTACATGAGATAATCAATCAACCGATAAGTAACGAATTAAATCCCTACTTTATATACAGTATGATTTATTCAGGCTAGCAGGAGATATAAAATTAGCTCATGTTCATGATAAAGTGATTGTTAACAATCACCTGCTTTCTATCAATAACGCGATTGTCGACAGTCACACGTTTCCTATCAATAACAAGATTGTTGACAATCACCTGCATTCTATTAATAACCTTATTGTTAACAATCACCTGCTTCCTATCAATAACGTGATTTTTGACAATCACCTGCATTCTATCAATAACGCGATTGTTGACAATCACATGGTTCCTATCAATAACGCAATTGTTAACAATCAGCCTTTTCCTAACAATAACGTGATCACCTGCTTCTTATAAATAGCGCGATTGTTAACAATCACCTTATTCCAATCAATAACGTGATTGCTAACAATCATAACACTCACCTGCTTCCTATCAATAACATGGTTGACTTCGAGTTGTATAGCAAAGGGCACGCCGAGCTCAGACTGGAAGGAGGTCATGGGGGAGAGAGTCCCGGAGGTGAGGATGACGTTACGAGCGATGCTGCCGACCTCAGCGAACGCCACGCCGGGGTTCAGGCACATGAAGTTCAGCCCCAGCGTCCACGACACGCGCTGCATGTCTCCTCGACGTCGTCTGCGTAACCAGGCGCCGCCTTCCGCCTGCAAATTTATGATTGGTATTAAACGAAATTTCATGTATAATATACATTAGCCGGGGTTCAGGCACATGAAGTTCAGCCCCAGCGTCCACGACACGCGCTGCATGTCTCCTCGACGTCGTCTGCGCAACCAGGCGCCACGCTCCTCCTGAGCGTGTTAGGAATAGAAACACAAATACCTATAAATAGCATAAATAAAGCGTAGGTAATTCGGAATCTATTTTTATGCCATAATGTTGAACATATCTTGTGTAGAGTTGTGGAAATAAGGTATAGGGCTAAGTGGTCATTTCTGTCCATAGGGGAAAACTTTAGGTCGCTTAGGGTAAAGATCAAGCGGAGCGCTACGCAGATTGAGAACTGGGCTATAAAAGGAACGTGGCGTGCGCGGCGAGGCAGTACCGAAGTGATTGAGCAGAGGTTGTGAGCTGGTCAGTCCAGAGTCTAGTCTCGAGCGGGTACCTCGTGCAAGTAGGCCTAGTCAGTTGAGTGGGCGGCCGGCGTATTTGTGAGGTGTAGGTCGAAGAGACAGTCGAAAGTGTGCGTAAACCACGGTTGCTACAGCAGTGTTACTAAACGAAACTACTATGTCTGTCTCTTATACACATCTAGATGTGTATAAGAGACAGGGCCGGTGGCAAGNGCATCCCTTATCAAGGAGTTGCCACTCACCACATCCCTTATCAAGGAGTTGCCACTCCTGTCTCTTATACACATCTAGATGTGTATAAGAGACAGGGTGTACACTTACGGCAGGAAAATTGCGGTTCTTGGACTGTATTTTGCAGAGCGCGACGCGGTAATCATCAGCAGCGGAGACCGGACGGTCGTACAAGAAGTGATACATCAGGAAAATGTTACGCAGCAGCGTCAGCGTCGCGGACTTCAGTTTGGGCGGGTCCGCTTCATCGTTTGGAGGCTCGTCGGTCATCTCTGAGAGACAAGTCTGGAAAACCGCAGGATTTTGTAATTCAGGTAATTAAAAAACTGGTTTCAAGATCATGGGCTTTAGGAAAGGAAAATTTTAATTTGGGTTCCGTATAATTGGCTTGAAATTTGAAGCATTTGAAAATTGACGAGCTTTTAACGGAACAATGGAAATAAAAATTTGAAAAAGAATTTCAAAAGGATAATCTAAATATGAAAATTAAAGCTGATTAATTCAAATGCGGGGTTGATCGCGTCCACGAATTTTTAATTAAATAAATCTAAACTTAATGATCAAAAATGGCAGATTAAAAGAATTGTTGTGAGCTTGCAGAAAATACCTAAAAAAAAAGAAAAATTAGAAAGAATTAACTGAGCACAGCAGTTAGCGATGAGCAAAGCGTTATTACTCTGAATTTATAATAAACAATGGAGCCAAGGTTACGAGAAAAAAAACCGGGATAGAAAAAATGTAAAAACAGAACGAACACATTAATTATGACTCAAATACGGAATGAATACCGTGAGTATAAGGCTTTAATTTTCATCCTAAGATTTATTCTTGACCATGCCCAAGAAGGCAGCTGTAAACGACACAAAACCCAAAGATAAAAACTTATACAGTCTCCAGAATTCCAAATTGTCAAAATTATTCTGGGACCTTTATAGGCATCCACTGGGCTCTGCCGATCTCGAGCTTGTCGAGAATCTGGATCATTTTAGAGCCGAGGAAGACGCTGCTGTTCTTGCTGGAGTCCGAGTCGTCCTGTAGATGGCGGGAGTTTTGCACCATCCATCCGGATAAAATAGACAGAAAAAGACCCTGCCGAGATAAAAAAATATAACTCAATACTCACTGTAGTGAGTGACAGAGAGCGCATTTTCTCGTCGAAGAAAACGTGAAGTCACGGACGGACAGACAGACAGACAGACGGACGGACGGACAGACGGACATGGCGAGCACAATAGCGCCTTTTCCCATAAATGAGAAAATGCGCTAAAAATATTCAGATGAGGATTGGAGTTTGAAAATAATTGATCGAGATTCAACACTTTGTTTTAGTAATTCATAGGAATTCGTACAGTAATATTAATAAGAATAGTATACTATATAATGAAATAATGTCCTGGATATTGCACAGATATAATACGATAGCAGTGCGAAGAATAATGTAGAAAACAGATCGATACGACAATTTGCTCAAGGATAATGTCATCCTTGAACAAAAGAATGTAAGCCTAAAACAGTACGATGTGCAAGTAGGCCTAGTCAGTTGAGTGGGCGGCCAGCGTATTTGTGAGGTGTAGGTCGAAGAGACAGTCGAAAGTGTGCGTAATCCACGGTTGCTATAGCAGTGTTACTACTAAGTATTATGTAGTACTATGTTTTCCGCCAGATAGTAAAGATAGCCTTGAGAACTTGGATACGGTACGCTGGAGAATCGGTCACGAAGAGGCATCAACTGTTGTGACGTGCGAGATACGAAATTATAAACGAAGCTAAAACCTACGAAAGTATCTACGAAGAAGAAATCGCGATCGACCTACGAAATTCCCCGAGTCCCAAGCCAATATACTCACCGCGAGAGTCTGCGACCGGACACCCGCCGAGCGAACTTGATTCCCAACTCCATCGCCCACTCTAATTTACAAGGTACAACGCATTTATTCAAGGGGGATGCGGACTGAAGAACTTATAAAAGCGACGCTCAAGGAGCTCCGATGAGACTACTCGATTGCATCGATTGAACATCGTCAAGATCAGAAGCTTTCTAAGCCTCGTGCCGAAGCTTCGCAGTCACATTTTCCGTCAATTGCCCTCCTCCACAACTCCAGGTGATGTACTTGTTGCAGAATTTGAGCTAGGCAAAGCTATTATTAGCTTGAGATGAAGGTATAATTATCCGGTCTGTGTCCGTGTCTGATTTACTTTGTCCTAGTCTAATTTACTAGTGTCCTAGCTATTGTCCATGTCTGATTAGGTCGAAGCTAGACTTTCCGTAATCAGGATTGTGTTTTGAATTATTATCACCGTGTTCTAGACCTGTAATCAAGTGCCCTGGTTTGTTCTAATATAAGAAGTGTTAAGATATTCATGTGTCGTTACTATCCCCCTAGGTTAATTCGTGATTTGTTAAGACTCGAGAACCTATTCATACGCGCCGCTGAAGCAAGCCACTCGGCAATCAAACCTGACAGAATTAAAGTAATTGGCGATCGATCGATTAAACCCATAATGTACGGTCAACATCGATAATGAAATTTCCATAAACCTTAAGAGAAACTTTGTCTTTAATCAAGTGGTAAAATTTGAGAGAGTAATCACTCCGATTGTTCAACATTAAATCATATTAGGCAATAGACGAAACACTATCATCCACAGTTCTTAACCCATTTCCTAATCAAGCGACACACGTGAAAATTTATGATAGATTCATGTTTGGTATTAATTGAAATTTCATGTATAGTGTATACTATACATTAAATATGCTATGTTACTAAATAATCAAAGAACCTGTAATTCATGTATTTCTGAATTACAAGTTATTCAGGAATTTGCTTCAGTCAAATAGCTTTTCATTAGAAACCAAAATAAAGAGAAGAGCAACGGTTACTAAGCAGCCACTCTTTACAAAGAACAACATTATAAAATTTATTGTAAATTATCAGTTAACATAACATAACATAACATAATGATGTCGGCGCTGAAATGTAGGCCTGATGTGGCCTGTCGCTACCCTGGTTATCACCACACACCAGGCATCTGACGTAAAAACAACGTTTATTAATCGTTATTCCAAAGAAATCTAGCCGCAATCTACATTGTTTCAACGTAGGTGCCCTAACAAAATTTAGAGTCTCCCCAGCTTCTGGTAATCCAAATAAGAAGCTGCCGCGCCTGTAAATTTTCACTGGGTGTAAACTGTAAACTTACGGCAGGAAAATTGCGGTTCTTGGACTGTATTTTGCAGAGCGCGACGCGGTAATCGTCAGCAGCGGAGACCGGCCGGTCGTACAAGAAGTGATACATCAGGAAAATGTTCCGCAGCAGCGTGAGCGTCGCGGACTTCAGTTTGGGCGGGTCCGCTTCATCGTTTGGAGGCTCGTCGGTCATCTCCGAGAGACAAGTCTGAAAAACCGCAGGATTTTGTAATTCAGGTAATTAAAAAACTGGTTTCAAGATCATGGGCTTTAAGAAATAGAAATTTTAATCTGGGTTCCGCAAAACTGTGTTGAATTTTGAAGCATTTAAAGATTATCGCGCTTTTAACGGAACAACGGAAATAAAAATCTAAACTAGAATTTCAAAAGGATAATCTAAATATGAAAATTAAAGCCGATTAATTCAAATGCAGAGACTTCGTGTACACGAGTTTTTAATAAAATAAATCTAAACTCAAAGTCGAAAAAGGCAAATTAAAGGAATTGTTGAAAGTTTTGCAGTCAATCCGTGGAAAATAACAATTTGGAATATTTAACCGATAACAGAAATTGTCAAAATCGTTATCAGACCTTTATAGGCATCCACTGGGCTCTGCCGATCTCGAGCTTGTCGAGAATCTGGATCATTTTAGAGCCGAGGAAGACGCTGCTGTTCTTGCTGGTCATTCATTCAATCACATTCAAACCGAGCATTCATTCAACCCCGTTGAGGCTACGCATTTATTCAATCGCATTCAAACCACGCAATTCAAACCTATTCCAGCATCGCATATGACCCAAAATTATCAAACCACATATGACCTAATCTGCTAGACATTCGAAGTTGAAACAACGTTAAATAAACGTTGTTTCAACGACATTGCTCGTAAAAAAACTTTGATTTAACGTTACTTGCCTGAAATTTTGAGGTATGTCGCAAGACTGACCGCATGGAATTAAGGAGGGGTAACATATGAGCAAGTGTACACATCATATCTGATCCAAAAATATGAAACTGGATCTTCATTTTATACTCGGCTGATATTTTGAAGCATATTAGTTATCAAGCTGAATTGATTTCGAATTTACGAACCACTATTCTTAGAATCCCACCCTGGGACCGACCAGCGCGAGGTTCTGAGTGAGCATCAGGCGGTATACAGTAAAATTACCAATAGTATGAAGAGAAATACTACACATGTATAAATAAAGCTTCCGTACGTAACGATTGTAAAGATTCTACACATGTAGAAATATTCTATATGTAAAGATTGTGAAGATTATACCTGCAGATTTTGTAAAGATTCTACACATGTAGCAAGAATCTACACATGTAGCAAGATTGTACACATGTAGCAAGATTGTACACATGTAGCAAGATTGTACACATGTAGCAAGATTCTACACACGTAGATAGATTCTACACATGTAGCAAGATTCTACACATGTAGCAAGATTCTACACACGTATAACACGACCCTACGTACCAACACACGTAGCAAGATTGTACACATGTATAACACGACCCTACGTACCAGGGCACGGCTCTGCGTGAGTTTGCCCGCCCGTTGTCCGACGACCTCGACGTCTGTGAGAGCGTCGCGGACGTCGTCAATGAGAAGCTGACACGAGGCCGCCTCCCGCGCACAGTCTTCAATATTGTGCGCCTCGTCCAGCACGACCACGTGGTGACGAAGCTTGATCTCCATCTGCACCATTACGATACAGTGTAAGTGAAAAATATTGTTTTATATTAGGCACGACTACGTGGTGACGAAGCTTGATCTCCTTCTGCACCACCACGGTACAGGGTAAACAATGATATAATTTGGAATGTCATGGTTTAAAATTAAGAACGACCACGACACCTGGTAACTGGAGAAGGGAATGTGAAATGTCCCGGTTTTGGGCGTGGTGGGCGAAGGGTATTAGACCCAAACTTGAGAATGACTTCGGCTATTCCTTTGAAGAGATCGCCACTCACTGCATCGCTCATGAAAGGGTAACAGCCACTCACCGCATCCCTTATCAAGGAGTTGCTACTCACCGCATCCCTTATCAAGGAGTTGCTACTCACCGCATCCCTTATCAAGGAGTTGCTACTCACCGCATCCCTCATCAAGAAGTTGCCACTCATAAAACACGAAAATCAAAGAAAATAAGGTCTGCACCTTTTCATTTGATTGCAGCGATGAAAAATTTTTTTCCGCACCTTTTTAACGATCACTTGTTCAATTCCTAAATTTGAAAAAACAATATTTTAAACTATTTATTTAAACTGTCCAAGATTCATGACCTCCTGAGTTCTGATTTTGAAAGCTTCTTCACAAATCCTAAAGCTATGTTTTGTTATTTGCATTAACTAACCCCTTTGTTGGACCGCAGATCTTTGCACTTCTCGTTCTTCTCCGGCAAGCCGCTCACCAGCGGGTGGATACAGTAATACTCGCGACTGCCCAGCACCACAGTCCTGAAAAAAATTCATCTCTCAAAAAGATGGAAAAAATACATAATACAATATACTACATATAAAATACTCATGCGTTAATCAGAACTAGAAAAAATATAACTCAGTACTCACTGCAGTGAGTGACAGAGAGCGCATTTTCTCGTCGACGAAAACGTGAAGTCACGGACAGACAGACGAACGGACAGACGGACGGACAAACGGACATGGCGAGCACAATAGAGCATTTTTTCCATAAAAGATAAAATGCGCTAAAAAGGCTCGCACATTACGCTAGAAACCTAATATTTAGTTAGAATAAACCAAGTAATCATCGGAAGTTTAGGTTGGGAGTTGACACGATAACTTTATTGCGAAGCTGCACGGCTCGAAATGTCCTCAAATAATACGACTCTTGGTAGGTGATGAAATGCAGCCCTATATGGTGCTTGTTCATTGACAGTAATATGTTACGCAGGCGTTTATTAGGCATGCGTAAAACTACTTTTTTGTGAAAATATGTGTATGTCAAGGAATTTAAAAGCAAAGAAAAAGCCAAGAAAATGAATTTTCTTGTCTTTTTCTTTGCTTTTAAATTCCTTGTGAACTTGCGATATAAGCAGACTGATAATATAAGTACTTATGTGTATGTCTACATGCATTCCCTTTTTACATTCTTGTTGTGGTCAACGCACCTATTATTTTAGTAAAAGAACATTTTACATGCTGCTTACTTGCGCATGTTCAAGACATTACGATCTCTGAGCAGGTACCGGAGGGTTGCGTTTTTTTAATAGATTATCAAGTGTGGTGGAGGTTAAGATCACCACAACCCTTCATCACTCTCAAATGTTTAGAATAATCAGTGCCATTGTATTTACGCCACTACCTACACGGCACTGACATGGAGCCTGCATGAAGCCGTCATGTACATTTGAGAGTACTTATATTATCAGTCGCTTATATCGCAAGTTTATAAGGAATTTAAAAGCAAAGAAAACGCCAAGCAAATTCACCATATCGATATTGGAAACGTTTTGGAGTCCAGCTCCATCACCAGTTCGACAATCTAAAAATGAATACAATCATTTTATAAGTCAAAATTCTAAGTCAGACATAAAACCTAGAAAGACCTAAACTGAGATTCAATATCGATATGGTGAATTTGCTTGGCGTTTTCTTTGCTTTTAAATTTCATATATGAGAGTACACGTAGGCATCGCCCCTCTGCTGCTGCTGAGACGCGATGAAAGGCGCCAGGCGTCGTTCTGATGAAGGGAGTTGCATCGACTCAAGGCGCCAGGCGTCGATACAAAAGCAACGAGTCAATGCACCAAATATTAAGGCAGCAAAATGGTCATTCCATCGCACTACCGTTGCTCTGATGCGGCATCCACACAACTGTAGATTAGAATTCAGCCATATATAGATAATGCTGGCGCTAATTTCAATTGGGTTTCAAGAAGACTTCAATTTCTCGCGAAAAAAATTTAGGCCATAGGAATAAGCAAAGAGCATGAGTATCTAAATCGAACAAACAGAGTTAAAACTCTTGAGTATTCTGTATAGTACGGTGCCTCATATATATATATACGTAAATAAATTTTTCATGCACGAGCCATAGTTGACGTTTTTCGTTAAGTGGTCAATAAGGCAAACGGGAATATAAAGAGAGAATGAGGAATAAACGGGAATAATGAGATAATTGCACGGGACTTACGTAGAATCAAAAAGTAGCGCATGCGTTAGTAGCTCGTCCTAGAAGGCGTTCAGAAATGAAGGGCCCACATCTGAGACGACATTCGTGAGGATTTTAGTTTTTGTTTTCAACAAAACTAAAAAAATTCGACACGGGTGCGAAATTGTATTTAGAAGGAAAACAAATTATAGTTGCAAGAAACAAAGCAAGAGTCCGAAACATTTCTCAACATGATAGTTCGAGTAATATAATATAGAAAAAAATTCTGAAACCATGTCTCAGCAAATTGCAGACATAATCATACATACTACTACTTGGACATAGTCATGCATACAAAAAATAAGTAGTCCTGCAACACATCATCATTCATCACTTACTACTAAAACACCTAACCTATTGGGGCACCTAATTTTTACATGTTCGTCCCAATCATTATTATTCGTCACTCTCGTCGACTACTTACTTCAATCACTATATCAACTGTTGTGACAACTTATACCGTCACCTGAGTAGCATCAAGCAATACCTCATCACACTTACACATATAAAAACTTCCAGCGGCAGTCATATCCAGGGCACCAAACGTCACCACCATCGCCCATACCGGTTTCCCTCCACCATCACAACCATCATCAACAACCATCATCACAACCACCATCACAACCATCATCACCTACGGCATCAGCAGCAGTCACAACCAATGCACAAACGACATCGCTTAACCTTCACCATCACTTCCACCATCATCACCATTCATACTGGTTCTCCTTCCATCATCATTATCACCACCCGTAACAACAGCAGTCACATTGTATACGATTGTTCTTCCATCACCACCACCATCATCATCAACATTATAACCACCGGCCATCATCACCACCACCACCACCACCACCACCACTATCAACACCACATCATCATCACCACCACCACCATCATTATTTTCACCACCACCAACACCACGACCATCACCATCATCAGTCACATAAAGTACTCGAGAGCGTCAAGAGCAGGAGCAAGGCGCGCGCGCATGCAAGACGATGTACACAGGAGGCACGGACCGTCAAAGATCGCGTCTACGCGGAAACATTAACTCATATAACGCGCAGCCAAAACTTGCTATATTTATTTAATTAATTCTCACCAGGCATCTACCGTTTAAATAACCTTGATTTAACATTGTTTAAGAAGAATTAGGACAAAATGAACACTCAAAGCTCTTTTTAACAAATTATAAATTTTTACAAATTATTTCTTTGTTAATAACCGTTATCTTGGTTATTCACAAGGCCTTAAAATGTAGAGTTTTTTGGCAAAACAAATGGAATTTTTGTAAAATAATTATAATATTTGAGAAATTAATTCCATTATGTACTCAGAAATTAAACAATTTATGTGCAAAAGATTCATATGGCACATAAATGTAAAACAAAGGTAAATAATAAGTGTGGCAGTTTATTTGTACAATAAGCAGACGAGACGAATTATGCCTTCCACTTTATTTAAACTTGATGAAGGAGCATTAATATGTATGAAACCGAGCTTGGAGACCGAAAGCATGCAGAATCGTGATTATACACAGGAAATTAAGAGAAGCTAACATACCCGGCAATCCCGTCAAAAATCCATTAATTTGCGCATTAATCTGCGATTTAAATCCAAGAGAGGCGACGAAGAGCATGCGTTTGCATGCCTTGAATCAAGCGACGGAAGCTTGTTTGTTCATGTGTGGTGTTATAGGCGAGTCTGGCACGATCACACACGAAGGATCCTGGGCCTTATACTTTCAAAAAAAGTTAAGAGATCGTAAGTTCATCAGCCAATCATTGACGTCCTTTCAAGCAAAATCCACCTGCAGTCATAGACAAGAAAATAGAGCGTAAGTACTTACGTTCACTTAGCTAGTTTTGAAAGTATGGCCCCTGGACGATAATTGGCAGTAGAGGAAACAAGATTGAGGCATGCAGTAACAACCATCGAAACTAACTTGATCGAACATGTTGGTATTTGGGGATATTTTATAATTTGGAGGCAAATTTAACACTCTGTTACTTGACGGTAACTGAATTAAGTCACCAGGCCTTATAATTAAAGACACGAATATTATTGCTGATATTATTGGCATGGTATACGGTTCACGCACGAATACCGTTTCAGCTAGAGTGAAAGAATATATATTTTTAAAAATTTTGCGCAAGTTGTATAGTAAAAAGATCTCTAAAGCTTTGTGAATGCTGTGATGAATACGCTTCCTATTAAGAGGAACCTTTAATTTGAATAAACTTTAAACCACAAAATTCCTACCAATATTGAAATTTTCACCAGCACTTGACAAAATCATAACGAGGCGCGTACAATGTGTAACATACATCGCTGAAGGGAGAGATACAAGCGCCGCTATCGACCGTGAAGGGGGCTTTGCTCCCTCTTATTGAAGTCTTCACTTCACAGCTGGCAAATTGGTTTCGTCAGGCGACGACGTCTATACGAGCCGTGTCTCATTTCATCGAATCATCGACGGTGTCTCAACAGTCAAGTCCCAGAAGACGAGCAAAATGTCAATAATATATTATCATTATAGGCGCGGGATCGTTATACCAAAAATTTCACAACGGGAAAATTACTCCTATTAATCTATATATAAACTCGGTACATCAATTCATGGTGATATATACGATAATCAATTTCCAATTATGTATAAATTCACACATGGTGGACGCTCGAATTCATAGTATAGGGAGAATAAAGAAGTAAACAACTTGGTTCAAATTCCATTAATAATTGCTAGCTGAAATGAATTCAAATATGTTGGATAGATAATTACAGTCGATGATCGATACACCGGAATAATCAGTAAATACAGTTGATATAAAGTTCTAAAGTATAGTTACTAGAGCAGCCTAATTATTTTCAGCCGAAAGTTACGCGAACCGTATCTTAATATTATTAAACCCGAATAAATTAATGCATTTCA